TCACGATGAAACTAGATGGTATTTCATAAGATGAGATACAGAATGAAAGTAATTGAATGGACATAATTTGTAATAATATTATGTTAGGTGATTTGAAATAGGCTCAAATTCTTAAATCAGTTGATATATTACAAAATAAAGTAATGTTAGTATTACTTCAAGTCTCTGAACCCTCCATCCCCCACCTTATCTACTTTACCACTTGGGGGTGGAGATGGTGTGTTTAATGGGGCTGGGGGGTCACAAGGGTTTGTAGCTAGACTACTATAAAGAACAGTATACTGGTTGCACTTTCAAAAAGTAGTACCAAAATCATAATACATTTTTTGTTTATTATAAAAACTGATTGACCACATGTACACAGTCAGACAGCCTTTCTACATTCTTATTTATTGATATCGCCGACTCAAAAAAAACCAGTCCCAATCTTTCCGTGAACATTAATGCCTGGGTCACATTTGCTGCGATTCATCGGCGGGCACCCGACCGATTGAGTATTTTGTTCAAAATTGAATACATTTCTGAACAAAATACTCAATCAGCCGGGCGCCGTAGTGAAAATCGGAGCAAATGTGACAAAGACATAAATGAGCCTATTAGAGGTAACCAAGTGAAAGAACCCCATATCTAACCCATACTGATGAACCCTTCAGTCATACACTGTAATACCATGCAACAAGATGGATCTAGCCAATTGGGATTGATTTGATTTTAGATGTGCTCAGTAACATATTACTATACTGGTTGAGGCTCAATTAAGCAGTGTTCTTCTTAGAAAATGAGGATTTCAGCAAGGGTGTATTGACTTAACATGGGGATATGCACCATTAACTTAACATGGGGATACCAGCATATTATCATGGGGATAAGAAATCCTCATTATCTACAAAGAATACTGGCTCTGTGAGTCTCAACAAGTAAAATCATGTTACTCTGGGTTTGATAGATTATCAATTCTAATTGATTTGAATTGGGATTCTTAAACAGGAGATTTAGCCTATCCAAGGCCTTAACATCTTTGCACGCTTGGTCTTCACTGCAACGGGAGCTGAGTGAACGAAGATGAGGCCTTAACATATTAAGCATTAACGAGCAAAATGTCACTACCTGCCATTTGTTACAGACACCAACTGCCAAAAACCAACCAACAAACAATATCCACAAAAAAGTCGGAGACTATAACAAAATGTAACCACTTGCGGTGACATAAATAAAAATGAAGACTACAACAATATGTCACCACTTTTTGTAGGTGATAACAAACCATAGGAGGAGGAAAACTAGAAAGCTACTCTTCCTTTAACGAAAAGTGCCTGCCCCCCCCCCCCCTACCCCACAGGATTGATATATTTGACTGCAAATCAGTGTACTATGTCAACTTTTGTTTATTAAATACATGTTATTATAAGGCACTCTTACATCATGAAATCTGATTAGTATACTAAGCACACATTATAAAATAAAGGCCATCAGAAATTCAATCAAAATTACATACAATTATTCTAACAGATGCTGACTTTTCCTTATGTATTCTTAGGAACCTTGTATGCTGTAGTATAACAGGTAAATAATTCCAACATAACAGGTAAAACCAATCAATAGTATGTTCCCCGCCTTAGCAAACAGATTCTGATATCTCAATATTTAGAACAAACCAATCGAAGAAATAGCATAAAATATGCTGACTATATATGCTAAGAATGAGATATATTATGCGGAAAGGTATCTACATGTTAAAATACATATACAAGCAAATGTTTTAAATCTCCCTGGTATAATTTCTACGAGGGCCATGTTCCTGCGAATCATTGATTAGTGATGGTTATTCCATAGTTTCTTTTGTTCTATTAGAATATTAAGATTATCAATCTGGAATGAGTGTCTATATTTAGCGCTCAGTCAATAACAAGGTACCATTATTATAAAATACATTATACAATATCATACACCTACTGATGCCTTGCAACTAGTAAACATATTACACTGTTAGATTAAAATTAACAGGAAAATTGTGTTTCAACACATCAATAATTCAATGATCTAATAGTGCACCCCCTTGAAAATGAGAATACACCCATTTGAAAATGAGAATACACCCATTTGAAAATCTGGTATGTTACTACAAAAGTTAAATATTTTCGACATGAACAAATTGTAATATACTTTCAATATTTTCAACAATTGTTATATGCAACTGATATACCCTCTATCTAGTGCCATCCATGTTATAATTTATGTTAGATAATTATATAAATAAGATAAAAGAAATAAAATAAAAATATCAATCCAGGATTTGTTAATAAAGAATACCTACATCACTTTTTAGATCTAAAAGGTGTTCACTGAAAACAGTCTTACTGTACCTGAATATCATACCTTTAGAGAATAAATTCAAAGGTATGAAAAACAAGCGAAGTCAATAAGGAAAATATCCAGGTAAAGAATGCTTTTTAGAGAAAACAAGCTGAAATCAATATTATGTGCTCAATAGCCTTATAGACATAAGCAGAATGAATGAATCATATTACTCTCGGGGAAAGATATCAGAGGCTCGATTTAAACTGCAAAATTGGAAAAATAAATCTGCCATTAGCAACAAATTGTGTATATTACATGTATATTAAATGGTATTTCCAAACTGTATAAAACATTTCAAACAAGGCATGGTACATGAAAGTACAAAATGTCACCACCTGCCATTTATTACAGATGCCCAACTCCAAATGCCGAACCCCAACTGCAGTTAAAGTTTGAGGCTATACTATATCAATATGTCACAATATGTAACAATATGTATTGGTGGTGAAATGAAAAACATTTTTCATAATTTTAGAGAAAATGAGACTTGGAAATAAAGGTATAGATAGGATATGAGGCAAACTTGAGCCACGCCCATTTAGCCCATAATTAGGTTTTCTTACTTGATAAGGGCAGCTCCTAGACAGAATAGAAGATACCAACATACATGTATAATATTTAACAAATCCTATTTCTAAATCTCATTTTGAAAATAAACAAGAATTCCCAGTCAAGCAGACATTTTGGATTTTCTGAAGCATTGATCAGGGACATGATCTCAAAATCATATCAGGGGGAAATAATAGTACATAAACTAGTATCATCATTTTGACATTAATTTCCTTGTTACTCATAATTTCAATGTAATACCTTTTTCTATTTCCTCATGAAATCAAAAAAAAAATTTATCTCATATACGACTTTACATACATATTTGTTTACATTCAATATACTTCAAATGGATCCGAACTTCAGTGATAGAAATAGTTCATGATGTTGGGATATGGATGCCATTTAGTATTCAAACAAGATAACACAACCACTTCAAAAGTCCTTGACTTTCATTCAAATAATGAAGGAGGTTATAGATGTAAAGTTAATACAAACCTAAGGTTAAAAGTTACATTTAATAAAATAATTTCAGTTTCATCCCAGTGGTTTTGACAGGTTTAACTGTACTAGTATCAACATGATTAGATACACCATTTCTTTTCACTGTGAGATATGCCTTAATATATGTATTAACATTGGCAATCCACAGATTCAGGAGATCCCAAATTCTAGGTTTAATTTCATGTCTTTCATTTTGGGTCATATTTCATGAAACTTAGTGATATGATATTACAAGTACCGGGTCCGTTATTATCAAAATGATACTGACATCAACAATAGGTTATAACCTATCTTATTAAATCTATTATTTAATATTTATAAAATGAGACAACATGAGCGTAAATGACTCGAGCAAGTCAAAATGTTTATAACAGAAATCAATGTGATCACTGGTGAAGTGTCAGATCCAGCTTCTATTGGTATACACAAGCTTTAATAGATAAAGAGAGACCCTGATACAAAATGGTAAATTATACAGGCCCGTAGCCAGGGGGGTTCGCAGGGTTCGAGCAACCCCCCCCCCCCCCCCTAGCCAAAAATTCTTTCAAAATCATGCAGTTTTTCACAATTTTGAGCACTTCAAGTGATTTTAGCCATATGTGGGCCAAAATTGTCAAATGTGAACCCCCCTGGTAATTTTTGAACCCCCCTTGGCAAATCCTGGCTACGGGCCTGTTATACATATAACAACACACTTCTAGATCTATTACAGATTTCAAGTTTTAATTTGCCTGGTATCTGCTTTAATGTGGTACTACTATATGTGGTTTTGGTTGTAGAATCAAATAAAAATGGCAGTCATTTTAAATATTTTGCCGAAACTTGTATATACATGTACTTTAGTTTATGGATACCGTTGGTTAACAATCAGATGGATGAATACATGTATTTACAATATCTCACTATTTGAGCAAATGGAATAGCCATAATATAAAATGACATATTATATTATTTATTATATCATATGAGTGATGAGTGGATGATAAATGTGATTATTAATACTTAAATAAATACATAAAATTGCATATGTGACACTTATCTTTATAATGATGTAATGAGGTATATGAAGTGCCCGCTTACTATGATGAAATCAGATTGTAATATTGTGATATCTGTCACCATACTATAAGTTTAGGCATCTATTTGATCAATTTGTATAATGAAAATGTTACTTTTGGAAAGATAAAGATTCTCATTTGCAGTAAATGGAGGTCAGGCCAAAATCCTACAACTATATACACTAATAACATTTATTCCTTTGAAATTAAAAACTCTCATAATTGTTATGCACCCAGTTTGAATTCACATATACTTTCAGTTTGTGTCACAGATTCTACGACTACATGATTAAAATCCCAACAGCTGACATTGGCTTACGAGACATCATAATATTGCAAATAAGAATAAAAATATCATAAACAAGGCATTGACATGCAAAATGTCACCACCTGCTAATTGTTACATATGCCATTTGTTACATATGCCATTTGTTACAGACGTCGAACAATGTCCACAGCAAAGTTGGAGACTATAACAATATGTCACCACTTGTGGTGATGACATAATAGATAGATATATCAGTCACATACCTTATTTTCATCAAGTAAGTTGTGTATAATTTTCCGCTGTTTCTCTGTGATAGGATATGGTTTCCCATTTTTACTGAATAAACAGCCAAGAAAATGATCAAACTCTTTTAAGTCAAGTTTCCCATCTCTGAAAATAAACGTTAATGAATACTACTTATTTCAAAAGTAATCCAAGGATAACTTGAGGCGATATTACGACACACTGACAAGGGCATGTTGGAAGATAAATGTAAAACTTCCAGCAAATATTGAAAGAACATTTCAGGTGCCCGTCATCTCAGTTGAACATCTCCATATCATCTATTATCTTAATTCTTAATGCGATTGGCAGCTTATTTAAAATTGTAATTTTTATATACTATGAATAAATATAACATGAAAAAAAAAATTATCTTAATTACTCAGATGCGAGTGGGTAGTTACCAGTTTCGCCATGCGCCACCAGGTGGCTGATTCAGGGGAAATAACATTGCAGGGTATTACAAAATTTCCTTAAACTTGAATATGCATCAGTTTTAGTGGTTCACTTTTCAAATTACCCTTGTGATAGTTATACAAATTAAAATATGTCCAGTAAAATATTATCTGCCCAACACAAGAAAAGATATTTCACTTTTTGTAGTTTTTCAACATGGGGTCTATAGGGAATCTCCCCGACCTAGAAGTCACATTTTCAAAGAAAATTAAATTTTCAAAATTGATAAACTCTTTTCAAAACCACATTTTTAGATGTAGTTTTATATGTAGATTCCGAATATGACACCAGTTTGACTGAATTGTGAATTTTTAATGACGTAAATCAAGATTATTTCTACTCGCATCTAGGATATTCTAGTTACCATCATTGCAAATATTTGGGTCATCATCTCATTTTTGGTTTCAAACTGCGACCAATCACATTCGGTTGGTAATTTCCAGATATTTCAAACTGATGGCTGGCCTATAGTATAAAATAATCTAAGGTGAATGATATTCCAAGACCTAAAAGTGGCGCCACTATGGGTTTGTAGAAAAAACCGGGTACCGGGTAGTAAATCCTCCATGCTGAGTTCAAACTTGGTACCCGGTACCCAGTCGAAAAAACCGGGTACCAAAAAAACGAAAAATACGAATAAGCCTATATAACATAATTAGATGATTAGAAAACGTGTAAGATTTGTTTTGAATTCACAAAAATTTATGTAACTTCCTTCAGGAACAACAAGGGGGTGCGATGAAGCGATCGTACCCCCCCCCCCCATAACCAATGAAAGTATGACCATGATGATAGAGGAAGAAAAGAGCCAATCAAAATGCTTTTTATTTTAAGCTTCTAGCTAAATTTTGAAGGAAGTTACATTTTTTGTAAATTTAAAACAAATCTTACCCGTTTTCTAATGATCTAGGGCGAAGGGGTGTAACGTCGACACCATTTTGGGGTAACTTCAACATGTGGGGTAACTTCGACACCTTGTTGTTTATTTGTTTTAATTTCCGATCTTGGGGGAAGCAATGTTTTTTTCCCGCATAGATCGAGATCTCGCGAGATTTTAATTTTTCCATAAATCAAGCATGGCGGAAAACTGAAATTCAACTTCTAATAAGTATAAGTGTCGAAGTTACCTGTCTCTTATGTCGACTTTACCCCACATGTCGACGTTATACCCCTTTGCCCTAATTATGTTTATTCGTATTATTCGTTTTTTTGGGTACCCGTTTTTTTCAACCGGGTACCGGGTACCAAGTTTGAAACCAGCATGGAGGATTTACTACCAGGTACCCGATTTTTTCTACAAACCCGCGCCACTATGCCTACAGACAAAAGTTTCGAAAAAAAGTGTACACGCCATTTGATCGCTGTCATTCCATTTTCTGATCTACTTTTTTTGAGTTGACATCGAGGGCCCCCAATCAAGTTGACGACACAATAGAATTGTTACTCAATGATGGACTAATAGTGAACTCTAGATGGTGATAACTAGAATGAGATCAGTAACATGTAAGGTGAAAAAATAGAAAAAACAGAAAATGATTATGTTTTTAAAATCAAAGCACTTGACTTCGTCTCCATTGATTCAGATGACATTTCTTGTTTTTAAATTTTTTCCTCATTTTGATGTTGATTTAATAATGGAAAAAGTACTTACTTATTCATATCAAATGATTTAAAACATTCATTTAACTTTTCTGCGCTTGATGTTGCATGACACTTCAAGCAGTTTTCAATAAAATTAGGAGTATTTTGTTTGTTTGTATCCATTATTCGTGAACGACTTCCAGTGTTTACATTCGCCATTTGTCTTTTCTACTTTTTGATCTCGGAGAAAAATGGATTTACATTTTGAATTTCCACTTGACAAAATATATGAGTTATAAGTAAAGAAACTAAATTCTCTATCTAACAAAATACTATTTTTCTCAAGTTTACTTTAATTTTAGATTACTAATTGAATTTGAACAACTGATGTACAAGACGAGACTATATCTGACATTATTTGGCGCGAATTTCGAAAATTTGATTAGAGTGACATCTTTCAATCGTTCAATTTTCATTAGAACATGTTCCCTATTGATCTTTGCATTCAAAATTACAAAATTACAATTAAAAATTTAAAAGTAGGAAGAGATCTGATTTAATGTCAATTGGTGGCGCCTACTGGATATTAGAGACTTGAGGAGCAAAACTCAAAGATAGGAAATTCTAGGTATTTCGTGATACATATCAAGAAAGTGGTGGAAATATCGTGATAGCTATAACGACGTCATAAGTCAAAAAAATGCTGCAACAAAAAAACGATTTATGCCGTTAAGGATATAATTAAAAACGTCATATTATCACTTTGCTTTAAAAGCAAGCAAGTAAGGTTAGTTTATACAAATTAGAATATGTCAAACGGTCGTACACTTGTCAATTTTGACTTGATATTGTTTTTTCACATATTATCGCTCACGTAGGGCTTTTTGTATTTTCGCAATCGCATCTCCGAGCGCATCTGTTTACTTGGTGTATCAACTCGATCTCAATGTAGCAAAATTTTGTAACATTAGCCTTGACAGTCAAAAAGCTGAATTCTTAAGTAAAAAACATGTATATTACACTGTCAAAAATCCATTTTTCAGGATACTACATGCATAGATGGTGATAACAGCAAGGTGTTACAGCATCCAGTTATATATCAAGAATTAGCTTCCTTAAGAAACACGACACTACAAGATAATAAATAAAATGGCAGGGAAGAAAGCAATGTCGATTCTGCCTAATCTTCCACCCCTACCGACAATGAAGGAGGTTATGTCAGTGCAGAAAATATCCGCTTTGAAAAGGCTATCTCAAAACTTTTTGATGGATTTGAATCTGACAAATAAAATAGTGCGACATGCTAAATTTGTGAAAGGTGCACATGTATGCGAGGTAGGACCTGGGCCTGGTGGAATTACACGTTCTATATTGAATAAACAGCCAGCATCATTTTATGTAATAGAAAAAGATAAACGCTTCCTGCCAGGTTTAGAGTTATTATCTGAAGCTTCAAATGGAAAAATGAAAATCTTCTTAGGCGATATTTTACGCTTTGATATGTCAAAGTTGTTCCCAGATGATCTTAAGCATGACTGGCTTGATATACCTCCCATGATTCATATAATTGGCAATCTGCCATTTAGTGTTGCGACCCCTTTGATCATCCAATGGCTTCAGGAGATACAGGAACATAAGGGGGCATGGAGTTATGGACGCTCTCGATTAACACTAACTTTTCAACTTGAGGTTGCACAGAGAATGGTAGCTGAACCCGAATCTCTAATGCGCAGTAGGTTATCAATCATGTGCCAGTATCTCTGTCACGTAAATCATGTTTTCACAATTCCTGGGAAGGCATTTACACCAGCGCCTGATGTGGATGTTGGTGTAGTGACGTTTGTTCCAAGAAAGGAGCCTCTGATTGGTCAACCTTTTAAATTAGTTGAGAAGGTTGTTCGCTGTATGTTCCAACATCGTCAAAAACTTATAAAATGGGGGTTTGAAATGCTTGTACCATTTGATCGCCCAGATTTAGTAGACCGTTTTTTCAAGCTAAGTGGAATCGGTGAAGATAGTCGACCTATGGAGCTCACAATAGATGAGTTTAAATCAATATGCTGCATCTACGAGGAATTGTGCAATGAAATACCTGGACTGTTCGAATATGATGCACGATCACGGGAAGTTTCAGAGGCCAAGAAACAATGGCGAACTGCTAAAAGAGATGGAGAGGATGTATTCTTAGGCACTTAATCTATGGAGTCAGATTATCTTTGATTATTAAAGGAATAAATCCAGGACTTATTGATTTGTGGGTGATTTAAAATATTAGGTTCGTGAATGAAAATTAAACTGAGGCTGGGAGGTCTAGTTGTCTAGTTTCAAAACTTGCATACGAGTGAGGGCATTAATCAAATCAGCCCTAATTCACATCAATATTATAGATCAATTTTGTATAAAAATATTTGAAATTCATTTTATCTGACTTTGATTCCAAACACCAAATGCATCATGGATGTACTAACTATAGCTAAATATGAGAAAAAAACAAAATTTTACATTAAGTTTTTTGTTCAATCATTTTTTGAATGGAAACTGGAAATGGTGTCACATATGTGCAGTTGTATAATAGTAAAACCTCTATATACGCTCATTCTCCGTTAAGCGTGACTTTTGAGGTGTCAAAATATTAATTTTTCGACCTCAACCAAAATACAAGCTCTACTTAGTTTATGAATGGCTATGGTCTGTGGGTGACAAATGCCAAGTTTCACCAGCCTTGTACCAAAATTGGAGAAGTTATAAGTTTCACAAAAATTTCTGATTACATGGACCCTATACCATAAAAAAAGGCTTGTTTGTTGAAACAGGTATCAATATGTGATTAGTTTGCGATCCATAACTTGTTGATTAGAAGCAAATATATACGAGATCAGGTTGAAGTGACATAGTCTGACTCGTAAATTAGATACAACTGAGTGACAGAATTCAAAGTTAAATTTTTGAAAGACTAAAAGATTTGTTCGTAATTAACAGCAAATCTATGTTCACTTATCACTTCGGTGACAGGCCATTTTCTTGTTGGATACCCCCACATACTTCAGGCACCTCTAAGTCAGTAACACAATATTGCACACATGTAATATGTATTTAATATTTCTGGCATATCATAATTTTGGGTACAAAAATGTCACTCATACCATAATACTCGGGGTGGAAAATTTTCTAAGAGGCTCCGTTAAGGAAAAAATGACTTTATGAGCTGGATGGAATTTCTGAGTATTTTTTATTCTATTAGGGTGTCCTGCATAAGGGATTTCGCCTGCGAAGCATATAACTCTTGCGAACATATCACAATACTGGTCCGAAGAAGACACACCTTGAATTTTTTAGAAAAAATTGGCTAAAAATTGAAACTACAATAAGTCCAAATGTTCGACTCAAACAAAGTTGTAGCTATTCTATATCAATATTATGTGTTATGTGGTGTTTTTCAGATGTTTCAGGACCTTCATTAGTGTACTTGTGTCAAGAAATGTGACATTTAAGGACAAAATTTGGCATTTTTTAATCATTTTCACTTTCAGCAATAACATATAGTTCCTTATATCTTGAGTTTAATGCTGACTGGTTGTGACATTTTTGATTAAATCTGTGCTTGTACATGTGTTTTTCCATTTAAGGTATAGAAAAAGTATTGTGGACAACCAATGTTCGTATGAGAGCTTTCAGATCTCCCCTACCCCATTTATTATGGAAAATTACTGAAAAAATGAAAAAATAAAATAATTTGAAATTATAAACCTTAACAAAGTTGTAGCTATTCTATATCAATATTATGTATTATTTAATGTCTTTAGGATATTTCAGAACCTTTATCAGTATACAAGTGGCTAGAAATGAGACATATAAGGACAAAACTTGGCATTTCTTTTATCATTTTGGCTTTCAGCAGTAATATATAGTTCCTCATATCTTGAGTTTTATGCTGGATGGTTGTTGCATTTTCAATCAAATCTGTTCTTGTAGATGTCTTCTTTCATTTAAGGTATAGAAAATGTATAGTGGACAAACAATGTTCATATTAGAGCTTTCAGATCTCCCCTTCCCCAATTATTATGGAAAATAACCGAAAAATATGAAAAAATAAAATAACATGAAATTATAAACTTTAATAAAGTTGTAGCAGTTCTTTATCAATATTATGTGTTATCTAATGTTTTTAAGCTTTTTCAGAACCTTTATTGCTATTCATGTGGCTAGAAATGAGACATTTAAGGACAAAACTTGGCATTTTTTAATCAATGCCACTTTCAGCAGTAACATAGTTCCTCATATCTTGAGTTTTATGCTGACTGGTTGATGCATTTTTGATTAAATCTGTTCTTGTACATGTATTCTTCCATTTAAGGTATAGAAAATGTATAGTGGACAAACAATGTTCATATTAGAGCTTTCAGATCTCCCCTACCCCATTTATTAGGAAAGATGACTGGAAAATATAAAAATATAACTTCAAATTACCAGTATAAACTTTAACAAAGATGTAACCATTCTTTATGTGTTATTGAATGCTATATTTAATGTGTCAGGACCTTCATTAGTATACTAGTGTCTAGAAATTAGACATTTAAGAACAACATTTGGCATTTTTCATCAATTTTTCATCATTTCCACTTTCAGTAATAACATATAGTTCCTTATATCTTGAGTTTTATGCCAACTGGTTGATGCATTTTGATTATTATATATATATCTGTTCATGTTCTTTTCCATTTAAGGTATAGAAAATGTATAGTAGACAACTAATGTTCAAATTAGAGCTCTCAGATCTCCCCAACCCCATTTATTAGGAAAGATGAGCGGAAAGTATGAAAAAATTAAAGAACTTCAAATTATAAACTTTAATAAAAAAGTAGCGTTCTATATCAATATAATGTGTTATTGAATGTTATATTTAATGTTTCTTGAGCTTCATTGGTATACTAGTGTTTAGAAATTAGACATTTGAGGACAAAATTTGGCATTTCCATCATTTTCGCTGTAAGCAATAACATGTAGTTCCTTATATCTTGAGTTTTATGCTGGTTGGTTGATGGATTCTTGATCAAATCTGTTCTTTTGAAGTATAAAAAACAAAACAGTTTAAAATTATAAACTTTAACAAAGTTTTAGATATACTAGATCAATACTATGTATTATTTGATATTTTTCAGATGTTTCAGGAACTTCATGAGTATACAAGTCTAAAAATAGATATTTAAAGTCGAGTTGCAAATGGGGCGGGTATTCTGTAGCTTTGACCATAGGGCTTTTCTGGTAATAATACGTTGCAAACTGCACATGAATTTATATAATATATAATAGTAGTGTCATATAACCAGTGATCAAGCCATATTGGTTGAATTGCTTCATATCAATTGCAATGTTGTCAAAGGCTTGGTGATTTCGATATTACACCTAAGGGTGGTGTAATTAGGAAGTTCATGAAGGATATTGGGCTTGGGGATATTTTGGTAAAAAAAAAAGTTGACACTCTCCTTATGGCCCATGGTTACTACAGTGCCGCAGACAAGACAAAGGAATTCAATGTTAAGCGAATTTGTATTCAGTCTGATGATACAGAATGTTGCTTGCAAAGAAGGATGAGAGTTAAAAAGAGCTCTTAAAGTTGCTTGAATGATTTGAAGTGCAATACAGGATATATTCTGTTTGAGAAATTTTGTATTGAAACGAGACGAAGTCGAGTGCCAATACAGAATATCGAGACGGAATATATCCTGTATTGCACTTCAAATCATTCAATAACATTTTTATCGTGTGATCCTCTGTATTGCTCCTGAGATTGTCCCCTTCGTACCAATATTTTCTGTATTGCGACAGAGATGATCAACGGGGACAACCTCAGTAGCAATACAGATTGGTACAGCACAAGAACTGACCAATCAAAGGGCTTCATTTTACAGATCATACGATAAAAGTGCACATTGTTGGACAATATTTTAGGATGAGTTTCTCAGAACTATAAAATTATTTAGAGATCTTACATATCTGAATATAGCTTGTGGTGTCATGAGCAACTTAGACATTTAAAATGACTGAAATGCAGCTCTAACATAGAACCAGGGAGATTTGAAAAATCAGGCTGTTGCTGGATTAAGTTTGAGAGTTGTGAACAATCATGTTAACAAATAGACATATTCTTTGATTCATATGAGAGTAAAATGTGAAATTACAAAATTATTTTGTACTATTCTGCTTTTGAGTAATCTTTTAAAAATATGGTAGTGTAGTAATTTTATCTCGAATATGTACATTTGTGTTTAAAACACATTGTCTATGCTTTGAAGTTAACAAGACAAGTAATTGAATATATATGATCTAAAATATATCAACTAATCACCATTCAACTAAAAATATAAACAACTATTGCTGAAAGTGAAAAATTGGTCATATTTCTTCATTCTATTTTTGTTGGTTTTCTTAAATGGTGGAGGGGAGATCTTAGCCCTCTTATAAAAAAAATATTCGTTGTCTTACATACATTTTCTATAACTTAAATCAGAGAAGACAGATTCAATAAAAAACATATATCAATCTATCATCAAAGAATTATAATTGTGGAAAATTATATGATACTGCTAAAAGCAGAATGCTAAAAATGCCAAATTTTGTCAGTAATGTTTATATCCTAAATGGACAAGAACAGATTTGACCAAGAATGCACAAACCAGTCAGCATAAAACTCAAGATATAGGGACCTATACGTTATTGCTGCAAGAGAAAATGAAAATTTTGTCCTTAAATGTCTCATTTCTAGGCACTAGAATACTAATGAAGGTCCTGAAACATCAGAAAAACATAAAATAATACATAATTTTAACATAGAATAGCTACAGCTTTGTAAAAGCTCATAATTTCAAGTTATTTCCTTTTTTATATTTTCCAGTTATTTTTCCTAATAAATGGGGTAGGGGAGATTTGAAAGCTCTACTATGAACATGGGGCATCCGCTATACACTTTTTATATCTTAAATGAAAGAAGACATCTTCAAGAACAGATTTGACCAAAAATGCACCAAGCAGTCAGCATAATACTCAAGATATAAGGATCTATATGTTATTGCTGAAAGCGAAAATAGTAAAAAAAATGCCACGTTTTGTCCTTAAATGTCTCATTTCTAGGCACTAGGTTACCAATAAAGGTTCTGAAATATCTTAAAAAAATTAAATACCACATACTATTGATATAGAATAGCAACAGCTTTGTCAACGTTTATAATTTCAAGTAATTTTATATTTTCATAATTTTCTTTAATTTTTCATGATAAATGGGATAGGGGAGATCTGAAAGCTCTAATATAACCATCGGTGGTCCAATGTACATTTTCTATACCTTAAATGGAAGAAGACATGTACAAAAACAGATTTGATCATAATTGCAACAACCAGTATGCCTAAAACTCAAGATATGAGGAACTATATGTTACTGCTGAAAGCTAAAATGATTAAAAAAAATGCCAAATTCTGTCCTTAAATGTCTCATTTCTAGGCACTAGTATACCAATAAGGGTTCCCAAATATCTGAAAAACATTAAATAACACATAATATTGATATAGAATAGCTACAACATTGTTAAAGTTGATAAATTCAAGTTGTTTTACTTTTTCATATTTTTCTGTAATCTTTCATAATAAATAGGGTAGGGGAGATCTGAAAGCTCTAATATGACCATTGGTGGTCCAATATACATTTTTTGTATCTTAAATGAAAGGAGACATGTACAAGAACAGATTTAATCAAAAATGCAATAACCAATCAGCATAAAACTCAAGATATAAGGAACTATATGTGTCTGCCTAAAACGAAAATGATGAAAAATGCCAAATTTTGTCCTTAATTATTTTATTTCTAGACACTAGTACACTCATGAAGGTCCTGAAACATCTGAAAAACATTAAATAATACATAGTGTTAATATTAGATAGCTAGAAATTTGTTTGAGTTGAACATTTTGACTTTTTGTAGTTTCCATATTTAGCCAATTTTTTTCTAAAAAATTCAAGGTATGTCTTCTTCGGACCAGTATTTAGATATGTTCGCAAGAGTTATATACTTTGCAGGCGAAATCCCTTATGCAGGACACCCTAATAGAATAAAAAATACTCAGAAATTCCATCCAGCTCATAAAGTCATTTTTTGCACTATTCTCACACCTTCCACCCCGAGTATAAAAGTGCATATATTTTGATTGGGATATTTGGAAAAGCAGTTACACCATTTTTCATCCTTAACGGAGAATGACTGATAGTGAATACCTATTCAGCCACAAAAAAGTGTTCAATATAGCAGTGTGGGTAATCCACTGTAAATATTTAGAGTCAAGTGTAAAATTGAAGTCCCTTGCAACATTGTCGAACATGAAATTCGCCATTGTGGAATATTATAGAACAAAGTCAACTTAAAGTACTTTTATAAACATATGACTTTATAAGATTTTTATTCACAAGAAAACTGTGAGTCACATATCATCAGTGGCTACACTGTGGCGAGTGTAATTTTTCACTGGCGAGTGTGAAAACACAAGTAAATTGCCACTTGGCGAGTGAAAGAAAAATTCTAAGACCCACACTGTATAGCTAGGTGTTCACTACAGTCAAGTTTTGCATATGACCTTGCCTATTTAAATGCTTTGTCTATTTATGGATCCTGAATACCAGAGCATATTTATTGAAGCTACACAAAATGGTATTTGTTGATTAATTAATTTATATTTTAAATGATTATTTGTTTTAAAGTGACAAAAAGAACTGCCCCACCCAAACTCACCAACTTGATTCTATTATAACATCAACTTGCTTTTATCAATTCAAAGATCATTCAGTGAAAACTTTATGGAAAAATATTGAGTATTGATAAAATTAGAGTAAACTACATCTGGGACAACCCTCGTATGATCAGAAAATAGCTGTAAATGGCAGTTTCAATGAAATAAATGCCAGTGCACTTATGAAAGCAAAAGGTTTAGTGAAGTGCTATTTGATTAGGTTGTTGGATTTTGATTGACCATATTAGGTCCGTAGCCAGGGGGTTAGCACCCCCCCCCCCCCCCCCTGGGCAAAGATTCTTTCAAAATCATGCAGTTTTTCACCATTTTGAGCACTTCTCAAGTAATTTTAGCCATATTTGGCCAAAATTGTCAAATGTGAACCCCCCTGGAAATCTTTGAAAACTGAACCCCCCCCCCCCCTTGGCAAATTTTCTGGCTATGGGCCTGCATATTCTTATTAAATAAGAATATTAGGATTATCTTTAGAGTGCAGATGAAGCTCTCTTTTAAAAAAAATTAAAATTATTTGAATAGGCCCATTATATGGAGATATCTCAAAATCAAATTCCCTCATTGTATATTTCAAAGAACATTTCAAAGTTTATTGTGACATTAGACACTTCGAAAAACCTGTGGGAGATTTTTTACCTCAAATCACATTTTACCTTGGAAAATCTTCATTTGCTATTGCCAGACTTATTTTGTATTTAACATCTATCATTTGAAGTGGGAATGAGAAATATAGGGTGACATTGATTTAATGTTTCTAAATTACAAATGGAGAAACCAATCCAATAAAAACATTATAAAACAATGCATATTTAGATTTTGTTTTACTTTATAACTTTTATTTATCCTTCAAACCCGCATACATATTCAATTTTGATTACACCGCACAAACCCATAAAGATCCAAAAGCTGTAATCCACATCCTAAATATCCCTAAAATATTTTGAAATCATGATAATGATATGCGACCTCCACTTGGACATAGACAATCCTTTTTACAAAATATATCGGAAATCAAAAAATGACCCCACAACAAGTTTCAATTTGAGAAAACTACATGCACTTTCCTCTTTTTAATTCTGAAAAATTGTTTAAAGGCAATTAATTTATTTTCAACACAAATGATTGATTTTTTCAAGCTTCAATGATTACAAATACATTTCTGTCCTAAAACATGTATTAAAAGTGTATGTCACATATCATTAGGAATTAACATGACACATATTGATAAATATCACACTTTTTATTGAGTAATTCAAAATGGCCACCAAGTAATTTACCCAGCATGCTCTAAACCTAATCATATCTTGGCATCAGTCTACTTTTGCATCTGTAAAATTTTCAAGTTGAAAAACTAAGCATTTTTTTATGTCACCACCAAAAGTGGTGACATATTGTTATGGTCTCCATATTTTTTTGTGGCGGCGGTTGGTGATCGGCAGTTGATGATCAGCGTCTGTAACAAATTCTTAAACTTCCAATAACTTACATGTAACAAATACTGTTTAGACTGAATTCAGTTTTTTACAAGTCTCATCTACAAGTTATCAGAAGTTCAAATCTGACTTTAGATTTGACCTTCTCAAGGTCAAAAAGGTCTTTTTTCAACTTGCTTCAAATTGACCAAATTTTCTTTTCAAAATCATCTACAAGTTATCAGAAGTTCATATCTGACTTTAGATCAATGACATTCTCAAGGTCAAAAAAAGATTTGACCTTCAATGACCTTCTCAAGGTCAAAAAAAGTATTTTTTTCAACTTGCTTCAAATTGACCAATTTTTTGAAAATCATTACAAGTTCTCAAAAGTTCAAATCTGACTTTAGATTTGAGATTTCACCTCCAATGTCCTTCTCAGGTTCAAAAAAGGTATTTTTTCAACTTGTTTCAAATTGACCCTTTTTTAAAATCATCAACATGGTTCTCAGAAATTCAAATCTGACTTAAGTTTGAACTAATAATATTATGAGCAACTAGATGGTGACATTTTGTCATGTTACTGCTTTGTTCCTGGAATTATCATGACAAGATTCATGTGGTACTACCTACCCATTCTCCCGCCTAGACAGAGAGCACTTTGAAAACATGCAATAAAAATGTTTTCAGTTTATTTAGGATGAGAATGACAGCTTCTTGCACTTTAACATAATTTTAAATAAATTAGAAAAATGTTGAAATACCAACAACGTGAATATATAACAATTTGGAGTGTAGATTATTACAAGTATATTTCATTGAAACAAAAAATATCAAATGAACAACATGTACAGATGATACGCATGGACACAAAAATAATATGTACAATATTGACATATTTATATCAAATTATGCAAGATGTACAGTAACAGATAACATGTACAACAGAACATGTATAATACAGAACATGTACAATACACAACATGTACTAATGCATACCTGTGGCCAGGTGGCAGGTTTACATTTTGACTTTATTTTAATTTTGATAAATATTTATGAATTTTGCCCTAATATTGATTTTGATTGGAGTGTACAGGGTGTCCATTAAGTCTCTTTACACAGGATTTGTATTGTAATTGTAAAGAGATTTTATTGACACCCTGTACTATTGAATACTTCATTTGGCATCATTTTTGCTACAACACTAGAGTAATACTAGTAACACCCCGACTTAAGTAACACCCCGACATTTGAACTCGGAATCCTACAGATACTCGGACTTCAGCAAACATGAGGTTTGGGCAAATTAGGTTCAATTCTTACGCTGGGCAATTTCTGTTCTCATGCCAGGCATAAGAGAAGATCTGTTCTTATGCCCGGCATAAGGGTAGATCTACTCTTATGCCCGGCATAAGAACAGATCTACTCTTATGCCCGGCATAAGAATTAAACCTAATTTGCCCAAACCTCATGTTTGCTGAAGTCCGAGTATTTGTAGGATTCCGAGTTCAAATGTCGGGGTGTTTAGTATATTAAATTTTCCCCATGTAACAACGCTAGTATACTACATTTTTCCCATGTAATATTACATATAGTCTTGTATCTTGGCCCTGTATGTACCTTTCCATTCATTTTTATTTCAAAGAGATTGAATAGGACCACATGGGCATGATGTAAGACTTCAAAATACACTGACATACTTGAACAACACAACAAATCAAACAGCAAATATAATACAATGTGCATTCAAAAATCATAAAGACACACAATTATATTTCATGTATGCACGCTACACAATATGTATATTTCATGTACAGTATATACATTACACATAATGTACATGTCCCCTTTTTCATTTGATTTGGTATCTCACATCTTTCTTTTTGGAAAAATGAGATTAGGATTGCAAGGAAAACATTGACATTATTTTTGAAAAGACTGTTTCCAATGCTATCCCTACTACTTCCTGAGGCCTAAATGAAAATTGATTTATTTCATGTAAATGGTGGTAAAGTTGAATGGTTAATTGCCAGACAGAAACCGCTCATTAGTTTCTCCTCACATAACAGTCAATTTGCTGTTTTTATTACATGTTTTGTAACGTGTCCATGAAGTCAGAGGGAACGTTCAATGTATCACCATTTTTAGTCACAATATAGTGGTTATCTTCACCATTTTGGCAGACAATATAATGTGATTTAATATCATTTTCAGATATAATTATCTCTGCTACATTCTCCTCTGAGATTTTCTGGTCTGAATTATTTTCCTCAGGTATCTCCATTGTGATTTCAACAGGTTTCTCCAGTGTGGATCCTTGTGGATTTTCCAGTGTGGATTCAGTGTTGATTTCCAAAGGAGAATGTTCTGTTTTTTCCAGTGATGATAAAACATCCATCTGCTCACCTTGCATGTTCTTTCCTTGTATAGCGCTGATTACTTCTCGCTCGAGTTCATCCACCTCTATCGTTAAACCAGGGTCTTCTCCTTCAGGGTGAGATATAATGGCGTACACTTCATTGTCGTTAACAACAGTCACTTGGCGATTGACCTTCATGCATTTCATTTCAATCAAGCTATCCCCTGCGAGAGCTTCTGCAGCATTCCGTTTTCTCCTCACACCAGCGTGGTTGCGCACATGGTGAGCGAGACTTTTTTCATCAACACACTTACGCTGGCAAATCTGGCATTTTACAGCATGGGGATAGTTCTGAGCATGCCAGTCATCATCAAGAAAGTGCTTTGAGGCACATCTTTGCGCTAGATTGACTCTAGCTTTCACACGATGACACACCTTACATGTGATATCATTCACAGATGAGTGTGTCTCCAAGTTATGATGCTCCAACTCTTTCGGGCTTTTGAAGATAATTCGACATTCCAAACAACGGTTCTCAATCGTCATAGCAACCATATGACATTTTTCTTCTTCCGCCTGTCCTTCTACTTCGTATATTACAAGACTTCCATGTGCCTCATATTCATGCAATTCACACTTCTCTGCTGTGGTAAATTTTTGTTTACAATATCCACATGGATAAAATGGTCCTTGTATTTCTGTATCAACATCAGGTGCCGTCTCTACGAGTAAAACTGCCTTCATTTCTTCTGACAAATCCCTGAGTTGATCAACACTGATTCTTACATTGAGGCTCTTAGCCACATCACACACCAGCAGATGTTCTATCACACCTTCCATAAAATTACCTTTGTAGACGAGCTTACAGTACGGACACTTGTACCCATGGAGCTGGGGACAGTTGTGGGCAAGGTGACGTAGCATGTGTCGTTTAATGTTGAAACCTTTCCCGCAATGATCACAAAAACTCTTGGAAAATCCTGGCTTGTGGACTGACTGCAATTGGAAAATAACATAAAAATTCCTAAAGTCGAAGCTAATCGTAAAACAGACTTCCGTGATTCTGCGTCGCCGCAGCAAAACCACAGAATTTTGGATTACAAAATTTTTGCGGAATTTGATTTTTTGCACGGAATTTCGTGGAAAACTTAATTTTTCCAGTCAACCATCTCATCACATATTTGTCACTCACCTTGACACCCTGAGACAGTCATTTTAGGATTTCAAAGACAAAATGTTAAATCTGTTTAAAATTCTCAAAGTTCTTTCATTGAACTTAAAGATTACGTCTAATATGTCACGAAATTTGAAGCTGTTTCTTGCAGAATTTATCGAGGAATTTTGGATTTCATGCAGAATTTAGCACAGAGTTTGACTTTTTAATGCAGAATTTTGGCGCAGAATTTGCATTTTTCTCATGCAGAAAACTAGTATGTGTGGTCAATAAAAGAAATATATAGAAGAAATGCACATGTGTATAGAGTCACATGAAGTTCATCCATCAATGTCACAATGCATTTAACTTCAAGCACCCAAATCCAAATTTGAAAAATCCTGCATATCAAAAATACCTTTGTACATATACTTCTTCACAAAAACAGACTTTTGCTCAATCACAATCAGGTTTTACTTGTTTGAGTAATTCTTGAAAGAAATAATGAATCTTTGAGCTCATATCTTTTTACAAGGCGATAATGTAAAAGTAGAATGGAATAGCCATTGAAACGGGTGAAAACTCCACATAATTGTATAATAGCCCCAGTGACCAACTTACCATGTGCCTTCTTAATGCTACTATATTGCTGAATTGGTAGGGACATTCTGGACACTGGAGTTGCACTTTAGGTTCATGTTTCCGAATCTTATGCTGACGGACATGTTGAGGCGATGTAAACAGTTGCCCACACAAGTCACACTGGTAGCGTACTGTCTGCTTTTCTAGAATTAAGAACAACAGTATTTTACAAAATGGACTCGAAACAACATACTGAAATAAATTAAGTAAAATACATGTGGGCATATAAATACATAGATTCTGGAAAACACATGTTAAGTAAATTGATATTGCTAATCTGAAAAATATTTTTTTAAAGATTTAATATACAATTATAAACATATTTGACGATACAACATTCTTGAAATGTATACATACTTATATTTTTACCCTATTCATGCTACACATTTCTCTGCAAAATGTGAATAAAATGCTTTATTCATTTTTTCAACTTTAATTTAACTACTGTGTTGACTACAAAATTCATACCTTGTTTTTTTAACGCTGTGACTACATCCTTATGCTGTTCTCCTCGATGTCTGACCAGGCTGGTTTCCGTGACACATTTAAAATCACAGTTAGATTCCTCACAGTAAATGTACTTGTCGTACTTCTGACCATATATATCATTAAATATGATATGCTCCCTCTCACATTTCTTCGCTGTTTTATAACTAAACTTCAATTTCTTGCAAATTAGGCATTGATGTTTTTCACGCTCAGTGTGCATTGACCGTACATGTGAAGCTAACTCTAATTTTGACTTTAACACTTTACAGCAATGTGCGATGGAGCATCTAAATGTGAAATCGACATCAGTGTGGCTATCAATTTCATGTTGTTGTCTTGCCTCACAGTTTTGGAATGTCATGGCACAGAACTGACATGTGATACTCGGAGTTACATGAAATGCACGTAAATGGGTGATGTATTTTTTCGGGAAGTCCACAAAATAGACCTTCGGACATAAAGGACATTGGAATCGTGTTAATGAATCATCGAGGTCGCTGTGTTCTTTCATCAAATGTTCTAGGTACGTTTTCATACAGTCACAATTCACGTCACATAATATACAGTCGTACACTCTTGGTGTTTCATCCTCTGTATTCTCAGCCAACCAGAGTTCTTTGAAGTAAAACGGATCACTATGACGTTTCTCTTTACCTTTTCCAATTCCCTTCTTATGCATATGTTTCGTATGACGAATCATAGAGCTCTCATAGTTGAACTTAATTTTACACGTTGGGCATTCAAACTCGCCCTCCATCGATCTTGGATCTTTATTCACTTTCTCATTATTTCCATTTGTCTTCTCAGTACCGTCCCTATCATCTTTTGCATCAGAGTTTGAATGATTGTCATCCTTTGAATGAATTCTCTTCACATGAGCTGAGAGAGCTCGTTTTTGAGGAAATACTTTCTCACACAAGGAACAATTAAATCTCCTAGATCTGAATTTCTTTGGCTTAGTTTCAATATCATTTGAATCATTATCACCTGCTTTTGCAATGTTCTCATTGGATTGATCATCCATGGTATTTTCCTCATTTCTTATCATTCCAGCGTTAGTGTCATCATCTTGTTCAGGTTTTACTGAAGCATCATCTGAACTTGACTTGACAGCTGTTTCAATATCATTCTGACTTTCACCATTATTCTCAATATTATCACATTTATTGGATTCATTAAGGCTATTCGAATCACAATCCATATCAGAGGGTTCATTCTCTTTGCGCCTGACTTTCAAATTTTGCAAAAATGTTGATTGTTTCAGTTTCTCTTCAGTTTGATTGTCTAACTTCACTTCCACACTAATCTCATTAGATTTTAATTCTGCAGATTTTTCATCAAGTTCTTTGTCTTTTCTATGCGCCAACAAAGCAGGAAGTGTGTCTTCTCCACCTTGTAGCTGAAAAACCACATCACTGTATTATTTAAAAAGATTTGTTTTAACCTTTTCATGTCGCCTCACAATGTACATGTAGTTTGAATAAACAATGTCAGTGAACGAGATCTCAAATGGCATTTTCAGTGTAGCAAAGGCTGAATAAATGTAACTGTCTAAGCCAATTCAAAGTCTTCAAAAATCAAATAGTTGCCAAAATCCAAGGGAATATGACATGTTCCACATTCGTTGCACTTCCGGTTATAAGGAAGATACCAAGATGCCTGGGCTGTTTTTTATAGAAACAACAAAAAATATTGAAGAAAATTATATAAACAACAAGAAATATTGAAGAAATTGTTCATCAATGACACTAACAATGAGTATCTTGAATTGGGTTGGATAGGAGGATGTCTAGGACACTTGACACGTGTGCCCAAAAACAGAAAATTGCCAAATTAAGTCGCGCCAAATTAAAGACAAACACAGTAGTCTTTTTAAAAAGTCACTTTAGTTTCCCTCCACTTTGCATTCACAAACTCACATCATAGATGCTTTTTAGTACAATAAAATTGTGATTTTTAACATTAATCTTAAAAATGAAGTCAATTTTGATGCCCAAAGATATATTGATATTTGCCCTGGGCATTAGAAGTGAACATATTTCTTATTTGGATTTTGTTACCTCTGATAGATCCCCCTCCCACTTACCTCCAGTTTTTTAGCCAATGCAAGTGTATCATGTAATTCTATGGTGGTCAGATTAGTTGAAACAAAGCTGCCATACATCATACCAACAATATGCAAGATTGCCATAGCTGAAACAAAAAAGCACAAAGGGCAATATAAGATTTACATACAAACTAGGGGAGAATAATGAAGCATTGAAATTTTCAAACTGCTGCATAGAAGGAGATACATACATGTAAACAGTGTTCTTCTTCAATGTTTTTCTTAATTACCCAGGTGTGAGTAGTTAGTTACCAGTTTCACCACCAGGTGGCTGATTATTTGTGTATTTCCCTGAGTATCTTTAGCATATACTGGGTATGTGTTATGTTTTTCTCTGAGCTAGAAAACTGTCAATCAAACTCAACATTTATCTCTAATAACTTACTTCATTTAACTTACATGATATATTTCTAATGTAAACTTTCGATGCATCTGGAAACTTCCGGAGCAGTCCCATGAGATAAGTACTTCGCCCCATGAGAACAATCCTGTGGCATGGAAATTCGGACACTATTCCATCGGGAAGATCTTCTCCAATCAGCTTTACATCACAACTGATGGATTCATTCAGCATACTGCGAATATTTTCCCAGAAATGATTCTGCCAGCTAAGTGCATCTTTTCTTCCACCTATAAGTATAACAATCCATTCATTTGGTCCCTTATCTTCATGTATGTCAAATTATACCATATTATAAAACGAAAAGTATGTGATAAATTTATAGATGTCACTTGATCATGTTGATACACAAGATGAAAGTTCTGTTGTACATGTACATTTATTCTTCAGATCTGTGTTAAGTGATCAACTGTACTTATAGATGTTATACAAGATAAGGATTATGTCACCCATTAGAAAGAACTTTATATCCATCATAGTTATTAATGAAAAATTGTATTGAGTAGATATATTAGATAGTCCTTTTCAAAGCAGGTCCCATTCCCATAAGACATCAGACTATAAAATTCGGACGAATTGGACAACAGGTTCATGAGTTATCACCCAGACACACTAACAGACAGATGAATGGACAGACGGACAGGTTTTCATATCCCTTCTCAAACTTCCTTCAGTTAGATTATCAATGAGATTTACTCCATGGCATTATCTACAATCTAATACAAAACAAAGCACTAACATGCAAAATGCCACTACCTGCCATTTGTTATTGACGCTACCACCGAACATCATCCACAAAAATGTTAGAGACTTTAATAATAAGTCACCACTTGTGGTGGTGACATAAAAACAAATAGTACCTCTTTTGAGTGTTTTAACATCCCGATTACTTGGAGCAGATTTCTCTCCTGTCACAGAGACATCATCTGGAATAACGACAGGCACTTTACCATCCTGGTTAAGAACCTTATAGTCCACAACAGCAGCTCTGCTACGTCGCCTCCTTGTTTCCATGGATACTGGAACAATAACTGAATATTAAAATTTCATAGTTAGTAAAAGCTCAATTCACTTTTCTATCCATCAATCAAACAAATAAAATACTGCAAGCAATCAAAAGACCAATATTATAGAGAAAAATGAAAAGTACATGGATCTTATAGACACAAAATGTTAATGGATTTCAGATAAATTAGGTGCAACAAACCTGTGGCATCTTGTAATTTAGGGAGTTTCAGCCATGTTAATTTTTTTGAAAATAACATGGCAGAGAGGCATTGAAATATAAGATATATTTTTAGCCAAACCACAAACAATCCATAATATAAAAAACCCATCTTGCATGTATTATATGAATGTATTTATCCATACAATAGTGCACTCGACTGTGGTAATTTTGATTGCTTAGTTTTTAGCTCAGATTGACCGAGACAAAAGTAAAATAGACTTTAAGGTGACTGTTAACTTAATCGATTTTCAGAAAAAATTGAAAATTTCACAATCTTGAAAATTTTCAAACTCTTCCTGAGAAGTCGTTTTTATTATTTCACATATGCTTGTGCACTGTAATCATTACAAAGACATCAAAGAACAACAAAAAACTTTAGTTTGAGAAAAAAAAGTGCCGTTTAAAGAATTTGAGAAGATTTTTTTCTAGGAGTAGCCCGTGAAAAACCGCTGATTCAAAATATCTGAACATTTCAGAAAATATACTTCAAACATATATCAAAAACGAAGGAGCAACGGAAATTTTAAAAATTACCCGATAAAAAAATGGGATCAAAATAAGGAAAAAAGTACACTTCTCAAATTGTTTTTTTCTATTTTTTTAAATTTGTATGAGAGATTTCAAAATTCTAAAGCTCCTTCCATTTTGGGCTATATTAAAGGGATGTTTCAGAGAAATTTGAAAAAAAATGTTCAGGGACCTTTGCCGTGCTACTCTTTTTGTCAATTTTTCTGTCACATTTTCAGAGGACTCAAATTCCCATTCCAAAATGTTTACTATTTCTATTTGCATTACCACAGTGAGCCTGGTTATATAAATGATAAGTGGAACTAAAAAATTGAGAGAAAATCCAACCAAAAGACAATTAATTTTGATGGTCAGATTATACTCAAATGCCATGTGCTTCCTGGTTTTGGCCATCTTGGATTTTTTGATTAAGTTATAAGTTACCTTAACCAAGATTACAGTGACAGTCTAATAAGGACTAAACTATAGATAATGGAGCGGTCAAATTGTAGTGCAATATTGTGCATCCATGTCTCTTGAAAGCCTATGACAGAATCAACCACAGGCATCGGAAATAACTTTTGGTACACAGAGTGTGGGGGGCTAATTTCTTTTCGGGACATCTCTGTTCCGATGACTGGCTGTGGAATCAACAAAGGATATAAAGTGGTTAGTGATGCCAATATTAACTTTAGTATGTATCCAACAGACCGAATATAATATTCGGTCTGTTATGATTGATATATTTCCTATGGAAATCTCGGTGATATTTTTTGCACATAAATTTCTCGTTTATTACAAGAATGTTCACCTTGAAAATTGGTGAATATGTTGAAGAGATGTTCATCTTAAGGTGCCATGGAAGTTAACAGGAAATGACAAAACAGGAAGTGACAAAGCCATGCTGGATTTTGAAAATTTTTTGAAGCAATATATCAGAGTTCTGTTTGGACCTCTAGTCAGTTTTACTAGTTCCACATATCATTTACATGACTGGGAACACAATGGAAATGGTCAGAATGACCATAAAAATGATGAAATAACCTTTTCAGCCCTCTGAAAATGTGACTGAAAAATAGCTAAAAGTAGGTGCTCAGGAAAGGTCACTGAACAGAATCTTTCGATTTTTTCAGAAAATGTGTCCAATATATTGCTCTAAATGATACAATCTTTGAAATTTTAAAAAATTGTCTGAAACAATAATGGCTGTAGTAAAAAGGTAAATCGATCGATTTTCAATTCAGTTTTTTTCATTTTTTTCTTTTTCTAAGAATGATATCAAATTTTTTTAAATTGTATCATTTTGAGCAATATATTGGGCAGATTTTCTGAAAAAGTCAAAAGATTCTGTTCAGTGACCTTTCCTGAGCACCTACTCTTAGCTGTTTTTCAGGCACATTTTCAGAGGGCTGAAAAGGTTATTTCATCATGTTTATGGTCATTCTGACCATTTCCGTTGTGTTCCCGGTCATGTAAATGATATGTGGAACTAGTTAAACTGACTGGAGGTCCAAACAGAACTCTGTTATCTTGGTTCTAAAAATTTTCAAAATCCAGCATGGCTTTGTCACTTCCTGTTTTGTCATTTCCTGTTAACTTCCATAGCACCTTAAACTAGAAGCAAAAATATTTGTATAAGGCGGGTACAAGTTGATATAAAATAATGAAATGTTCAGACTCACCAAAACTTCAGGATGTGTTTATAAGTACATCGCGAAATCAATGTCAAGGACGTTTGAGTTCACGAGATCAAAACGAGATATGCAAATTTTGAACTTTGACAACACATGACCACTTGATTACCTCGGCCTTCTTCATGAATATTTCCGCTCTATTTACTATAAATGAAGAAAATTAATCGGGATAATGATAATAAATGACTAGATCTAATAAATTCCCGCACAAATGGAATTTATCAACACGCTTCCGTCCGCTCCACGTGTTATTTGTTTACAAATAGACTGACGTCACTGGCTAAATCTCGTTTATCGTGAGAATTGGCATTGCCAAAATGGCTTGACTAAATCAATGGCTTCGCTACAAGAAGCGTCTGTACATTTTATGAATATCTTCAGTAAGAGGACAATATACGAAAAAATAATATTGTAAGTACTTTATAAGGTAATCATTTTATCATTTAACAAACTTATTTGTAACATTTATACAACACCACATTTTACAATAGGTGACTTACAGTCTGAATATTTATTCAGACGAAGGATAGGCCTACAGTCTAATATTAACTTGGCGCCAATTTGAAACTTCGGAATCCCATATAATCACAAAAGGTCGAGTGGCTGACAGTTGATTATTTCCAATTTGGCCTGGCTGGGGATCTGTGCCTATTAAGCTTAGATTTATTATCACCCACACAATATTTTCATAAAAAAACAGAAAAATACTCAAAATTAGATTGGGCATCTTCCTTTTATATTACACAAACAGTGCATCATGTTACAGTTCTAAATATCCTCCTCTCACTCCTGAATAGACAGGAATTACTTTTGAGTTGGTTTGATAAATGCAACAACGTAAAAAGGTATTAATACTTACTCGTAATTCGTGACACTTTGGGCGCCAACAGTACTTCCGGAGTGGAACATCAGTTATGCGAACGTCTCAAAACATTAGCAAAACGATGTTCGTATTTTTCACAGGATGAGATATATTTTAAATATATCATCCACTTGTAGACTCCTCTTGCTTATAAATAAAAGCAATCGAGCTCTTAAGTAATATCTAAGTGCATATCTTGAAATTAAATACATAAAATGAATGTAGCCCAATAACAATTTTAAAAATTGACGGTCACCACCAAATCATAGGACACTGGCGAATCTGGGGGGGGGGGGGGGCAGGGTTCTCAGACCAGAAATTTGCCCCTCCCCCCCCCTTGTTGGTTCCTAGAACCACCCCTGTAGGATGTGGTTATGCATGGGCCGGGACTCGCTCTATGTGTTTTTAAATTATATATCTGCTTTATATGGGCTTATTAGCCTTTTGCAGTTATTGACATAGTCTTAGAGTCTTACCAACATAATTGTTCTATTTGTGTAATTCATCTTTTTATTGATTCCATTAGGCTAAGGTTTTGTTCTGTCCAGGGCGTTTTTGATAAGTGGTTGTTTCTGGTGTATGAACTAAAAATAACACCTAGCTTGAACTAGAGTCACACTACCCTACCACGTGACCACGTTTAAAAGGGAAACAGGGTACAGCTAAGTTGCATATGGAGGACGTGGGTTTAATTCCATATTTCTGAACGTAAAATACATTTTACATTTATTTCTAGTGTTCTACCAGACATAGAATTGATTCATCAAGCAGTTTGTAGAATATTGTTGGCAAAAAACCACTATAGGCAAAGATAGATAATAGTGGGCGCAGTGAAGCAAAACTCAATGCAATACACGATACATTTCAGTAAATCTGTCAACGTACAGGGAGCATGTAAGTTTCCCTTCGAAAATGTTACATTGATATGTAACAAAACCCCAGTAAACTGTTATTTAAACTGCGTGTCATCGTGGTATATGTAGATACGTTTTCCAGTATGTTATTCAACTGTACTTTTGTGAATTAATTGTTTTTCTAAAATCTTAAGATGCAAAAAAGTCGTCCAAGAAATGTATCTTTACTTTGCCGTAAGGCATAACATATTGTGAAACATTTTTCCTCTTGTCACAAGGAGGATAATGTTTGTTTCGAGGTGTCTTGTGATGAGCGTTTCATGATTAAATGCAAAATCACTGGAGCAGATACCATCCAAAAACATCTGACATTCAACACGTCATATGAGACTACATCGATCTGGTATTAGTTTTTTACAATAATAGAGAAATACGACGTCATATCACCTCTACAGCAAATCATGAAGAACAAAATGTCGTGGCATGATGGTATTTTGAACAAACTATTTTAAATGATCGGTTTTTGAGGACGGTAGTGAATTAGACCATTCAAGGGGTTATATAGAAAGATTCTTTACATGTAGTTCACGCAATTTTAATTATTCTGAATAGCGGATAGTCATTAATCCTGATAGCCGATAGTCATTTATCACTTACGTGTTTATATTTAATTTCGTTATTTTATTTCAATTTGATACCCTAGTAACACGTATAATCTAGCGTTCTTGTTAATTTAATGACTAAAATGCATATACGACCTGAAAGCCCGTGTCTAAATCTACTAAATAATGTTTACTTTATTTGGATTAAATAACAATTGATGACACCTCAAAGCATCAACAGGCGGCCTTTTCAGCATTATTTTCACTGTTTGCAACATGATACATGAGATCAGGACATAGTATGTCTGTATAATCAGCTTACTTTCTCGCTCCCTGTACTATTGAACAATTTACATTCCTTGTACCCTGTATTGATCAACTTTTGCAGTTGTGTACCGTGTACTATGACATATCAAATATTTTAAAATTTAAAACGATATTATTTACATTCTTTCTTCAACTATCATATAACTTGGAACATGGACTTCACTATTGCACCACTGAAGTTCAGCGAATAGCAATATTGACTCACTCCGAGCACCAAACGTATTAACCTTTTCACTAAGCAGTCGATATACTCAAAAGCGACCTGATTGAAAGCCAAAATATTCGCGCATGCGCTATCGAGGTAGGGTAGTGTGTAGAGTGTACATACGGCGTAAAAAAGCGGTAAATGTGTTTGGCCTTGATTTTCAACACAACTGAACTTACATCTTACCCGAGTAAGACTTATCCTTTGAATAGACTAAAGAATAAAGATGTAAGTAAATAATCCTCCGGTTCAAAACGTAGTTTGTATTAGCACACCGGAATAGCCTGACTACGGTAAAGTCAGATACCGTTGTCACAAATGGCGGACATAACCGTCGCTTCAACTGTTTAATCACTTCTCATTTCATGGGATTTTATCGTCGCTAATTCTGTGCATGCATTAAGCTCTTGTGATAATGTATCATATGAAATCCCATTTTCGATCAAATTGGGTCGTGAATCGCCACAATAGCGTCTTCGACATCGTCAATGACAACGAAATCTGATTTGAGTAATTTAGAAAGACAACGGCATATGGTAGTGTCCGTTGTCCCGTATCTCATTTTGATCGGTTAAATTAAAGACTTTATTTCGATGGTAGAACATTATTAACTTTACAATGAGTATTAAGACACTTTGATTGATTGTTGTTTCAAAGGAAATTAGTCTAGGTTCATGAAAATCTAATTGAAGCGACGGTTATGTCTGTCCGCCATTTGCGACAACGGTATCTGACGTTACCGTTGTCAGGCTATTCCGGGGTGATTAGGCTTATTTTGCGCCGTGATACGATATGATTTTGAGGCAATAGCGTCTTCGACATCGTCAATGACAACGAAATCTGATTTGAGTAATTTAGAAAGACAACGGCATATGGTAGTGTCCGTTGTCCCGTATCTCATTTTGATCGGTTAAATTAAAGACTTTATTTCGATGGTAGAACATTATTAACTTTACAATGAGTATTAAGACACTTTGATTGATTGTTGTTTCAAAGGAAATTAGTCTAGGTTCATGAAAATCTAATTGAAGCGACGGTTATGTCTGTCCGCCATTTGTGACAACGGTATCTGACGTTACCGTTGTCAAGCTATTCCGGGGTGATTAGGCTTATTTTGCGCCGTGATATCCTATGATTTTGAGGAATATCATTTTTATCTACGAGGTGATATTGATATCTGCACGAGAGAGCAAAGCGAACGAGTGCATATATGAATATCACCGAGTAGATTACGTGTGAAATGATATTCTGAAAAATCATAGGATGTTCTTATTATCCTACACTTACACATGTTACAAGGAGTGTACTAAATGTATAATATCATTGCAAAACGAATTTCATGCCAAATAGAGTCAATTTGGCGGGAAATCAACAAGCGGAGTATATCGTCACAATATCCTCCGCATATTGGGTTTTCCGGAGTATATCGTCACGATATCCTCCGCCCGGAGTATATCATTACGATATCCTCCGGTCATTCATTTTGCCAATAAATATCAAATTTGTTTTTTAATGTTATTATATATTTAGTACACTAAGTGTAGGATAATGGTTTATTTCCTCACATCACATCATCAGTCCCTACCGGCTACCAATCGGTTCGGGAAGTTTCGGAGATAAACAGCAATTTTCCAAAATTGTATCATTTAGGCTTTTGACCGTGATTCTTAATCAATAAGCTTATACCTATCAGCTAGAAATTGAAACCGCTTTATACCTACAACAGGGAACATGCCCGTAGCCAGGATTTCTAAGGGGGGGTCACTTTTGAAAATTTCCAGGGGGGTTCACTCTTTGACAATTTTGGTCCAAAAATGGCCAAAAGCAGTTTATTTCCTCAGAATAATGAAAAACTGCATGATTTTTAAATAAGTTTTGGTCGGAGGGGGAGGGGGTTGAACCCATCGACCCCCCCTGGCTACGGGCTCGGGGGATAATTCATTAATTTCAACTTTCCTGCCAGTTTTCAGTTGTTCTACAAAATATATAACTTACGTAGACATACATGACATAGTACTTGTTTTGAATAACTACAAATTACTCTTATCATAAAAATGTTACCTTAAGCATTTCATCAGATATAACCATTGACTCTATCTATGATAATGAATATTAAATTTAAGATGTGGCATGAAGAGTGTACATTAGCTATAGTTGGTTAATTGTAAATGTTGTTCCGTAAATGTTACTTCCCAATTTCGCCAACCTATATATCTAGCAAAACATCACTCTTTAGTCAGAACCCAGGTCTTATTCAAGGTAGAACTGGCTGCCGAAAGCTTCAGGTTAATTAAGATAAGGTGAGTGACTTTGAAGAATTTAAACAACAGCGAGCAATATAATATAATTCATCCTTATGAGCCTTATGTTCATGCAACGTACTGCTTGGAGTTTTCCGTACATATTGCAAGTCTCGACTTACAGCATACGTATCTGCATTTGGGTTCTGAAGAAACGAGATGAGATTTTTTCCTATTTTCTGCAACCTCGATTTTGTTTGTAAATCATTCTAATTTGGACATCACATTCGGAGATAATTGTTTTGGTAAGCTTTATACATTTATCTAACTAGTATCTTCGTGCATTTCATTTAATCTTTATGCAATGAGAAATATTATTGCTAAACTCAATGGTTTGGAATGTTAAATAACGATCAACCATTTTGTTATTCATTATTCATTATATTACGGACCTGAAGAAAAGTAAACTCCGTGATTTTATCTACTGGGTAATAAGCTATTCATACCATTGCAATTGCTATTTAGTTATCAATTATTCTAAGAGTGTATCTTTATCTTTACTTATTTCTGAAACCAAAACATATGCGTATTGCTAGAACATAACATTCTCCTTTATCAACGTAATTCATCCACTACTTGGTAACCCAACAATAGAACATGTGACTTTAAATTTTCTCGTTTAGATAGAGGATTCAATGAAGCAAACAGTATAGCACGTTATGTTACATCAACGACTTTAAGATTAAAAAGAAATTAAATTTTCCTTTGTGTCACCATGTACATAATTTTCAATTTTATCGAATCGCACATTTTCCTAATAGCGTGTATTTTTAAACATGGAATAAAGTGAATTGATACATTCGTTTTAGACACTGAAGAGAACTGAAAAATCAATTGCATTTTTAGAAAAAAGTAAGTTGCATTTTCAGAAAAAAGCAAGCTCCATTTTTAACAAAAAAGCAAGATGCCTTTTCAGAAGTTTTCTGAAAAAGCTGCGTTTTTGGAAAAAGCAAGTTGCATTTTTAGAAATAGCAAGCTGCATTTTTAACCAAAGCAAGCTGCCTTTTCAGAAAAAGCGAGTTCCATTTCTATTTGGATTAAATTCGCCGTTTGAATTATACTATTATTTCCCTGCTTTTTTAGTTTCGGCTGAGTAATGGATAGTACTGAGAGCAACCAGAGGAAGCACAAGGCGCTGAAGTTCTTGCTCATTGTCGTTGTTAGTGCCATCTATACTGTGTTTGTTGGCTTTAGTGTATATCGTTCGAGGAGTAGAGGTAAGATCTTTATTCATATGAAAAGTCTATTTACAAGATCTCGTGACCCCCACCTACTGCACACAACCACAACAAGCTATTGTTGAAGTAGATAAGGCCCAGAGTCTTGGAGCGAAACTACCGTAATTATAAGTTTTTAAGTTGCTATCAAACGTTTATACGATTTTCAATAAGCGTGTAAACTGGGCTCACTTTTTATTCCGGGATTTTTCGGTTTTATCTTCATTAAAATGAATGTCGTAATTAGTTTTCAAATGTCTGTCAACCTTTTTGGACGATTGGTCGTTTTTGATAAACTGGACTCACAATTTATCGTTTTAGGCTTTTTCAACTTTGACAACGCAACTACCAATGACGCGATCCTCGACTACAGATTGGAGATCAACCCATCCCCTTGGACGTTCTATGTCGTTTGGGGCTGTATATATCTTTGGCAGTTTCTCTGGCTGGGTTACTCACTTGCCACCCTCTGTCGATCTACTGATTATGGATATCTTTATGTGCGGCCCAATGTACTTCCCGTTGGTATCTTCATCTGCTTTCCTTTGATGAATGCTTGCAGTATACTATGGAGCTTCCTCTATCGGAGTTTGTATATCCCACAAGCGTGCGCAGTGCTTGCTCTGATGGCGTTCCTTCTTTACATTTGCGTATTTTTCTCAGTGCGAGCCCTTGACAAACACGGATGGAAGTTAGTAAAGCAGCAAAAAGGAGCCGATATTTGGATGATCCGTATCTTCTTTCATAATGGACTGGGCATGTATGCAACGTGGTGTACAATTGCAACGCTATTGAATTTGGCGACAGCTCTGGTGTTTTGGGCTGATCTTCCCAACGAAGCGGCATGTACCATTTCGTTGGCGATACTCGCCAGTGAATTGCTGGTGTGGTTCGTCGTTGACATCACCGCACTGGATAAGTACACGAGATATCTGCTGACACCGTATATCGTTGCCGTGTTCGCACTTTGTGGAATCATCGTCCAAAACTGGAATCCATTTACGCTCAATTTTATCTTCAATGCCGTACTTCTAGGAGTTGCAACTGTCTTCCTTTTGGTGAAGTTCCTGATTGCTTTGGTCAAATGTAGAAGAGACCCATTGGATTACAAAAACACAGGGGCGTCCAAAAGTGAAACATCTTATTACTGGAGGAATCTGACTTATTCTGATACGTAGATCGGACTCAAGCTTTCCCTCGAATAACATATACAACAATGGTAACGGGACGTTTTGAAGAGTTTATCCCGATTCATAATGAAATATGTACATCTCCCCAGCATGATAAAACATGACTTCTCATTTCTTCTCAGCCCTGAGATATTTCAGGTGAAACAAAGATGCTATGAGTATGAGAATGATATCTTCCCGTGGGACTGCAAACTGCAATATATATACCCCGTTCATGGTATCACGGCCTATGCATGGCATTGCATTATCTAGATATCAGATGCTCTATAGCCTAATGTTTTTATTGTTTGAAATCATAAGAGCGTGAAATCCCCATCCTCCGAATGCAAGGCTCTAGAACTCTAACCTCGTTCTTCGAAGAAGAAAGGAACGTGTAGTGGATGATGCTATGTCTGGAGCCCTACGTTTGGAGGATGAAAAACGAGATACGAATTCTGAAGACCTGCGTTCGGAGAATGGAAATCCCATAATTACTCATTGCGTTGGTCCCGGCCCACTAATTAATTATTCGTCATGGGCTTTGCATACTTGAAACCCATGATTTGTGAATAAAGAACATTAACATTTTGTGTGATATATATTCTTTCAACTTCTTAATCTATAGTATAAATGGTTAGAAACTGGTACAAAGTTAACATAAAAATACCATGTCTAGTACATGTACAATTGTAAAACATATGCAAATTGTTCAAATATAAATTCATGAATGTATTATATCATTATGAGTGTTTGGATAAGAGGGTGTATAAATGGTAATACAGATTACTCCATTTAAAGTAGTTATTTATAGTGATTGACTCTATCTTAAATGTCCCTTTTTCTTTTTCTTTGCCATTTACATACTAAATGATAACTTGAAGCTGCAACTCATTTACTGCACATACACAATTTTGCTAAGTTATTTAAAATAATGAAAAGTTCCAACATTTTAGTCTTGATTGTCCATTTCTCTATGATTCATACAACACATGACAGAAATCACTGTTCAACATAGATCAGAGCACATAAAAAGTGTACAAACTTTTGTTAAATGGTTTCACAGAGATTTAATTGACATCTTGGAATGTTTAACATGTTATTATCCAATTTACCATGTGATGTGCCTTATAAATGAAGCACATATATATTATACATGACAATCCTAATTCTTAGAGCTCATGTAAAATAAATGTATGTACACATGGACATAAATATATCATTGTTATATCTGAAGTGAATTAAACGTGGTGTCATGTATCATGCTATACTAATAGTGATAATAAAGAGCTGAAATCCACTGAATGCATATACACATTTCAGTATTTTCTGTCATTTCTACACATGAGATAGATACATGTAGTAAAGAGGGAGAAACAAAGCCTACACACACCAGTGATCTCCCCAGCATTAAAGCAAGTGGGCACGGCACCCACCTGAAATTTTGAAAATAGGCTCGCACCCACCTGAAAATCCATTTGCACCCACTTGAAAATGAGAAAAATCATGAAAAATTGGCATATTTTGACCAAATTTTGTCTGAATTGTGAAAATGAGAATTTTGCACCCACTTGAGAAAAAATGCTGTGGAGATCACTTATTTGAATTGGGAAAGCACAAAGGGTAACATGGGAATATAAAGAGCAATCCTGAGACTTTATACCAGTTGTAAATCACTCTAAATCTTTTGACTGACCATGGACCAGGTCATTCCCAGGCAGTCTTACGGGATGATTTTTTATTATACATAGCCTTATCAGCCGATGACATATTGTTTTTGTTTGCAAAGTCTTGTGCCTCATTTTTCACTCTTGGTACAGGGCGACCAGATATTGGCAATGCGCCATAACTATGGAATAAGTTCTGCACTGTTGGCTTATGTTTATTTGCGAATTCCTCTGCCTCTGGTTTAATCCTTGGAATAGGTCGAACGGAGAGTCCAAGATTGCCATATTCTCCTATTAGCTCTTTAGTCCTATTGCCTTTATTTGCAATTGACGTTTCTTGTGCCTCTGACTTAACAGCTCTTCCTTTAGGCTTTTGCTTCATAGGGGCACTTGGGTAAGCATCAACTGCTAATGTTTCATTCATTACACCTTTGTTTCTCCTTGCAATCTCTTCAGCTTCAGGTTTAACCCTAGCTGCTGGTTTGGCAGATTCATATCCCCAATTGTCATCCTGATTTAATGTTTTATCCATATTGCCACGACTTTTCACAGCATTACCCAAAGCTTCAGGTTTAACTGCTCTTGCGTAGGACTGGTCCATTCTGCTGCCACCTTTATGATCCAATAAAGCACCCATCTGGCCACGATTGCGTGTAGCGATTGACTCAGCCTCAGGCTTAACTCGAGCTTGAGGGCGATCCGTTTCATAATTTCGGCTGTCATCGGGCTTGAGCCATTTATCCATTGTGCCTCTGTTTTTCTCTGCGATACCCTCAGCTGCCTCTGTTGCTAATCTCGGGGCAGGTTTTGGTGATGAGTATCCATAGTTCTCATCTGCATTATACCATATAGGGGTGTTGCCCCGTAGCTTTTGGGCATTTGAGGTTGCCTCTGGGGAGGATACCCTGGGAGGGGGGATAGGATCATGGTAGTCATTGTTAGGGTCATGCTCAAACCAATCAGATTTTCGATTCTTGAAATTAGTAGCATTTTCTTTCAAACGAGGGTCGGTACCCTTTTCTGGTGGCTTCTGATATGGAGCAACATTTGAGCCATCATGTTTATACCAATTAACGTCACCCATAGGTTTATTTTTTATTGCGTTTTGTTCGGCACCAACTGCAGTAACACGAAGAGGTTTCTTTGGAGGACTATAATTCCTATTTTCATCATGTTTATACCAGGATTCTTGGTCCCCATATATTTTTGTTTTGATTCCAACTGCTTCTTCATTTTTGCCCCTCCCTACAGGAGATTTGCTAATATCAGTCCGCGATGGATCATGTTGGAACCAATCTGGTTTCTGTTTGCGAAACTTATCTGAGACTCGACCTCCCTCGGGTCTTTGTCCTCTTCCTCGGGGAATGAATGGATTTTCTCCAGCTTCCGGGCGACTTGGGTCATGAGAAAACCAATCAGGCTTATTGCCCCTACTTCTGACTGCATTAACACGGGCCTCTGGACGTGTGCAGTTCGCTACCCTTGGGGTATAGTATTTTGCTGGTCCTTCTGACATAATTAGTGTTACATGAACATGTACATCAACAGACTGTCTTCTTTATAATGACCGTCATGTACATGTTGTTTGAATTATTGCCATCGAATGTAGACTTTGAGCCACTTTGCTTTCAATGTCTGCAAATAAAATATATCATACATAAATTATAATCTTGCAGAGTTACTGTACTTCAGTTTAACTGCGCATGCCTTATATGGTGGCTATCATTTAGAGATTGACCTATTATTAGAATGTACTTGTATATTGCATCGTCTTGAATGCATAGTTACTTCACTAAATTAATAAAATAAAACAAATACACTGGCAGTTCAAGTTGAAACCGTTTTCATTCTAACTTTGATCCTACATGTAAAACCACTTACGTTTTTCAAGTGCTCACCTGTACATTATCATAAAAAAGTAATTTATATACCTTTGAAAGAAAGTGAAAAGAATATACCTAAAACAGAAGTTCCAACTGCAATATTTCAAAAGTTTGTTATTCTTGATATAAACATTGAAAAATCCTTGCTTTTATCAATTATAGTAGGGTATTTACCATGAAAATCAGGACAATATTGGAATTTCGAAATATTTTTACCTGTGTCCACCATGTTGAATCACCTGAACAACTGACGCCAAATGCATAAGAAAAACGAACGGAGTATGTATGAATCGTTCTTATTTTGAGGTATTGGAAGATCGGTGGCTGATTTTAGCCCTGTTAAATGTCATACTTAACCCAGGGGTAGCAATGACAAATGTATACCTTTTTACAATCTTCCTTCTTTGTAAACGTTTCTAAATAATATGAGTGTATGATAATTGTAAATGTTGAGAATCATCTCAATAATGTAAGTTTGGAGTTAAATACAGTGGGTTAGTCTAGTCATGGTCTAGTTGAGAACTGGCATGTACCAAATGCAAATCTGGCATAAAATAAAATAAACTTATAAAATTACACTGTATAATCCAGGGGGGCCCATGGGGCCCGAGTGGGCCCAATGGTGGGCTTTAGTATAAGTGGGCCAAGTGAAAAATGTTGGCCAAAACATTTTGTAGGGCCTCAATTAGTGGGGCTTTTTGAGCCTTTTTTGGCCAAATTATCAACTAAATGGGCCTCAAATTTTACCAAATTTGAGCCCTTATTTGATTTAAGGGTCAAAAATAGTTTTCCGATCTAAAATGTGCGCCCCCCCCCCCCACCCCACTTGTTAGCTTCTGGATCCACCAGTGCCCCTATGAGTGCAAATTCGGGGTCAGAGCCCGGGGGTGAAGAATACTCATTAAGTTGGCCCCAGGGTACTAGTATTGAATTTGATAGACAATTCAATTCTTTTTCAAACTCCTCACTCATGCCCGAGGGGGGGGGGGGTTGAAAGAAATTTCTACACGGTATAGCCTACACAATTATTTCACATAAATTCAAACTCCACACTCATGCCCGCTTGGGGGTGTCTGACGCAACTTTTGAAAATTGTATAAACAAGCCCTATTGTTGTTAAAATCTAAGTACTTGATGCACTTATAATTTGAAAAACGCTCAGCGTCGGTCAATACAAACGAGGAACTTAACCTCCAAAACACTAATTAATTAAAAAAAATCATGGATTAAGCTTATTCAATGGAAATTTAAATAAATAAGTAATACTTACTTCCATCTGCGTTCCTGAAGTATGTACAAATGCAATGTATATATTCTATATCGTTAAGTTTGTCGTTTTTTATTGTAAAATACTGTCGAATTGTCGTATTGTAAATACTGTCGAAAGATAAACTCGTCAAAATGTATGCGAATTCGATTCACAGAAGGTTTAGCACAGTGGAACCAATCAATAAATCAAAATATTTTAAATAGCTTACATTGCTTTAAGTTTTTAAATTGATACAGTGCAGCGAATGTCAACCTGTTCATAAAATGCAATTCACGTGATGTCTTGAAATTTAGAGTGAAACGCACTCAATAAATATTAAGTAATTTGAACAGGGCTTGGAGTTCGTATTCTAAATATTTGAATATAGTACAAATAAAATCCTTATTCCTTATTTTGATTCGAAAAATTAAATAATATTCATAGGAGCACATAAGAAGATTTGGACGTAAATGGGGAAATTGGTACATTTTTCTCACATCCTTCAAAGAGATAAGGTTTCACTTGATAAACCATTAACTCTGAATTGAAACATCAAGTTTTAATAGACAAAACATACAAAAACAATCTTTAATTTATGGACCATAAATCAAACATTTCTGTTCAAATTGTATAAATTGAGCCCGGGTTAGTTTTCAGAAGGTCGGTGGATTCATGTATTGTCCCACACTTACAAACACGCCTGTACTGTATTGTATCAAATGAACACATGACATCGACTCTTCATTTTTTGCCAAACAAATTAAACATTATTTTTGGATAAATTCAAAAAGTGAAACGTTGATTAAAAGTACGATCAGAGATAAAGATGACAAAATTGCAAGCAACGTCGAGATTATGATATGAATTTGAGGGAACGATAGAAGACAAAACATAAGAAGGGGAGAGTTGCTTTGTATGCCGATCCCATTGAAATTAATGTCCCTAAAATTATAATTATAAAATCAACAAAAAACATTCAAAATATTTTTTTGCAAATCGTCCAGATTTTATCAAAAAATACGAGATATGGTAGATAGTAGTTATTTCTAAAATATATTTCACTTATAATAACATAACATATTCATAATCAACATAAAAATACACTTGTGCACATTTTAGGTTTACGAAAATCACTCAAGTGTAGCCTTGCTCGAAGGTGGTGTCTTTTTATTTTTTCTAATTTGGTTTTCACTGTGTATAATACAGACTTGGGCAAGGCTACTCTAAGTGTAGACTTCTTGGTACATACTATTATGACATCGTGGTATTGGAAGCCAGCAGGACTTGAATAGGTGGAAGTTGCACAACTTGAACTGCATTGGTTTGTGTGTAAAAAATAAATATTGCTGGATTCCGTTGATCATTAACTTGAATAAATCTTTTTGTAATCTCAATTCAAGAAGAAAATAAATTCATATATTATCGTTCTTATCTTAGTAAACAACTTGAAATACATGTGATATAAATTAACGAGGAATGAATGACATTTTTGAAGGTCCCCAGACAAATAATCTTTCAAAGTCAAAATTAAAGATATGCCCAATATTAAATAACATTCACCCAAGAGTTTTATGACTAAATATAAAATGATGACATATTTTTATTCACTGTTTTCAGCTGATAAAAGCCAATATGTAAAGAAGTAAGACAAAAATGTTAGCATGACAAATGGGATTTTCTTTTATCTCACATGGGAATAACTGACTAGGCTATAGTACGGGGTTAAAGGAGACACGATGATACGGTGAGCATTTGGGGATCAACGTTAAGGTGAACATACCGCAGAGCTCGCTTGTACATTAAGCCTTGTGACACAGCCATGATAGTGCAAAGTAAGCTCATGGTATCATCGGGTCTCCTTTAACCCCATGTATACTAAATTGTAGGAATATTTATACACAGCAAGCCCATCATAGTTTAAATAACACACAGTTTTGTGTTCAAATGTGTAAGTTGTATATAAACGAAGTTGATCACATTGCTTTGGAAAGATCCATTTTTCACTTATTTTTCAAAATCAACCTGATACCCTTTTACCCCTTTACAGAAAAACGTCAACAACTGTTGATATTATAACACAATTCTAATATATGATCTTCAATTTACAAGACATTTGTTAGATTAAGCAAATATTATAAATAAATGCAAGTACATTTTGTACCTTTTTACAATACATCTCAGGCCCGTAGCCAGGATTTGCCAAGGGGGGTTCATTTTTCAAAAAATTCCAGGGGGGGTTCACATTTGACAATTTTGGCCCAAATGTGGCTAAAATCACTTGAGAAGTGCTCAAAATGGTGAAAAACTGCATGATTTTGAAAGAATTTTTGGCCAGGGGGGGGTTCGCCCGAACACTGCGAACCCCCCCTGGCTAGGGGCCTGCATCTATATGTGCTACACTTATACACTATATAAATATATAATTTTTACTGTTTTCTATACTTGTACCATAATTTTTATACACTCATTAGAGTTAAGTTTACTGAAAGTCATGCTGGATACACCATTCAATTAATTTGTTTGAATCAACCTTTTTATTTAAAGGTCCATGGATATTGCACTTTATGCATATGAATTTGACTTTTACATTTCAAATATGAACTCTATCAAGCTGTTCTTAAGGGAGTGCTGCATAACTATTATGTTCTCCAATTTTGTTACAATGTTTATTTTAACAATCACCTCACATAATAATTACCATTAATTTTGATACTTCATGGTGCAAAAACCATGTTTTACCATACAAATATTTTTATAAGCATTTTCTAATTTGCCTCTTCAAAAGCCAAAAGTTCAATCTAGGAATGTTAAAAATATAAGATTTTCTTCTGAGTAATTGAAGAGGGTAGTTTGTATCACATTTTGTTATACTCGAAGCATTTATACTTGAAGCATTTGCTATATATGAGCCTGGCCATAGGAAAACCGGTCTTATCACAAAAATTAAAATTGTGCTACAGAGCCAAAAATGTGCCCAAGATTAAGATGAAAATGTGCTAAATTCAAATCCGACTTTTTGGTTCATATATGCAAGGGAAAATTGTTAAAACATATGCCATGGCTCATTTGAAAGGTCTTTTTATGCTTTTTAAGATAAACAAAAAATCAGAATATTGGAAAAATTTGTGATAAGACCCCTTTTCCTGTGGCCTGGCTCATATACTATCCTCATATATATCATTTCAGTTAATATTCACTCACATGCTAATACTGTGTAAGGGATTGTACAGTAGCGACACCTTTATGTTGGCAAAGTTAGTATAAGTATCACAATTTACATGTTGTGGAGGCATATTCGTCCTCCATAGTTCATGGAGCACTTGAGTCCATGTATCACCATGGAAACATTACTATAGTTACCACCACAACAATGGCATCATCATGGCTGTTCCCAAGGCTGCACCAGCAAACATACCTCCTGCCCATCCAATACCATCACACCTGTTGCATCTGCAATACCTGAAATATCAAAGAAAGGTCTCAAGTAACAAGCTAATGCACAACCCAAACAGCGACTTTTTGTGTCAACCCTCTATTCATTTACAAGGGCATCTACTGATTACGATATATATTTTTGGTGACTGGCCGCCAGAGGGTAACACCATATATTATTCGTTATAATAGGCCTTTCCAAAAAACATGGTACCCTTTCACTGGGGGGTATCGTGATGCAACAACACCGTGTTGTTGCATCAAGATGGCCAGACTTCCGGTGATCGATTTTCGTACGATGTTTTGTTTTCCCAATTTACACCCATTTCTAGGACGAGTTGCTCAATAATCATACACATGCAATTAGCGCATGATCTATATTTTAAAAAACTGTCATTGGTATACATGTAGCATCATCAAGAAGCGATAAATTCGTGGTTTTAATTCCTCACTATTGATGCAACAACACCACTCTGTTTCTTATCGATGATGCAACAACACCAATGTGCTGATGCAAAAACGCCAATATAATGTATCATTGAACAACAAGAGAAACTGTTTTATGTTCTGTTCACAGGTGTAGGTCGGGATATCAATAAAACGCGTGAGTCAGTGGTCCATGAACGAAACGTATTTTGTTGGGTTTCTTTGTCTATATCAAAGTTAAAAGGATATACAAGGCAAACTAAATACAGTACTGAATCCCCAGGAGGCAATCTCATTGATATTGTATCTGAAAAATAAAGATTATACATTTTCTAAATTAAATGCCCCTGATTTACCGTATGGAAATTGTTTACAAATAACTAATATAATTTTGGAAAGACAACAGATATCAGTCAGTTTGTGTTGTTAGTACCTCAATATAATACTCAATTCTGATTGATTGATGAGCGATCAACAAAATGTATAGTTAGTACCTCAACTGAAATACTCTATTCTGATTGGTTGATTAGCGGTCAAAATTATGTACTGTTGACCGCTACTAGGTACTGTTGACCGCTACTTCTGAAACATTTTGTAAACGTTGATGAAAATGACTTTACTAGGCGACAAGTATAGCAAAAATACAAATAGAAACTTAAAATTAACATTAATTCACTAACGAGTACGCCGTGATGTGCCAAATACAGAGTTAAGCTACTTGCACTGTCTCCAGATTTTCTAAAAAAAATATTGCTAACGTGGTTCGGAGAAAAGGTTGTGAAATGAAGCCATGCCGATTGATGATTGTCGTCTATGTGTATTATTAGTTTACTCGGACTAACAAAACAATTGTAGACCTCTCCATTAGATCAACCGTCAAAATCATATACCTCGACTGTAAACTTCGGTCACTGTCAACAGTAGTTTTTCGGTTTACAGTCTCGGTATAGAATTTTGCCGGTTGACCTCTGGAGAGGTCAACAATTGTAAACTGTTGACCACTACTAGGTACTGTTGACCGCTATTTTTGAAAAATTGTTTTTTTAATGTTGAAATTTTTTTAATTTTGAAAAAATAAGTTGTGTAAAAAATTACAAGTATTCGACGGTTTGGGGATTTTTTGCTAAAATATGATACCTTTACTTATCAAATATGTTAACGTGATATTCGATTATATATTCGTTCAATTATTATGTTATTTGGATTAACAGAACAATTGTTAACCTCTCTTTTAGGTCAACTGGCAAAAGTGTCCTCGACCTCTGGTCTTGATCATTAGTACTTTCAAGGTTTACAGTATCGGTATACAATTTTGCCAGTTGACCTTAAGAGAGGTCTACAATTGTATATTATATCCTTCAAATACTATATTCTTCGGACTAACAAACAATTGTTAACCTCTGTATTCGGTCAACTGGCCAAAGTGTATACCTCAACAGTAAACCCTGAGAGTACTGTTGACCTCGACCTCCGAACTTTCAAGGATTACAGTATCGGTATACAAATTTGCTAGTTGACCTTAAGAGAGGTCTACAATTGTATATTATATATCCTTTGTTATCCCACCCAAAGTATGATGTCATATATCAAGTTGAAGAGTTGTATACGCTGCTCAGGAGTTTACGCTATCCAGGATATATAACGGTTATTTACTGAGAGGGATTCAATATTAGTTTTAATCCGAGAGACAATATGATATTTCCCGAGGGCCCGGGATATCTGGGATAACTGCACCCCTATCAATTTACCTCATTTTGGGCCCTTAATCTTATCACTTTTGTTTACCTTTTTACTCAGTCGGAGAGAAGGAATCCAAAGAGAGCAATAATTCTACATGTGCGTCGTGCAAGATTTCCATTAAACGTGTATCTAAACGGCCTCTCTAATAAAGTCAATTAGACATTTTTACACGTTGGCTCTCCAAATTGGAGGAAATAAAGAATCATATCATATTATATCATAGATGAAGCAATCATCCCATCAACATAAGCTCACGAATGTCACAGTTAAACTGTTTTAGTTATAATTTGATAAACAGTGGTAACGTACATCTACTAGTTTATCACTGTTCCACAGATGAATGACAGATAATTTCCAATAGCTCGTCATGTTTACCGAGAACGAAAGATGTTTGTCCACCATTTTGAATGATACTAACTGGAGTCAGGGTCATCAAGCTATGGAACAGTGGTTAATGAAAATAGATTGGGTTACTAAAGCTTGCCATGTTAAAGGCGATTGAACTATGTTATAGAACAACGTCCAGTACATTATAATATTTAAAAGTATCTTCGCCCGCAGGACGTGTATTTTGAATGCCTTGAGAAGAACGCAAATATGGGTAATGGGTAACGGTGTTGCAATAGTAGCATTTAAAAATCTGTTCCTCTCGAGATTTATGGTCTTCTGAAAGTATACTATTAATTGGTGTTGCTGCATCATTGCTCAAATCTAGAGGAGTGTTGTTGCATCTTCGGTTTGGTGTTGTTGCATCAATAGTGAGGAACTAAAACCGTGAACTTATTGCTTCTTGGTGATGGTACATGTATACTAATGACAGTTTCTTTAAATATAGATCGTGCGCTAACTGCACGTGTATGGTTATTGAGCAAATCGTCCTAGAAATGGGTTTAAATTGGGGAAACAAAATATCGTACGAAAATCGATCACCGGAAGTCTGGCCATCTTGATGCAACAACACGGTGTTGTTGCATCACGATACTCCCCAGTGCCTTTGGTATATAAAATAAATAATGATATATTTGGCTAGAATGGTGATGTCAAAGGTTGTACTTTTTCAAAATTAGCAATAAGTTAATACTGTTTTTGCTGAAACAGATTGCCACTCAAAATCTATTATATCATCAATTCAGCAAATATATCAAAGTTTCATTGATAATCAAAAGAAGGTAGGGTTATTGGAATGGTCTGTTGACTGGAAAACTCCAATCTCTACAATCTAAAAAGGGAGAGCATGCGTAAAATAGTGTGGTATTCAATATTGTGATAATACCACTACATATTGTTCCACATTCTGATACTCATAGCATCTTTCTGTTTCACTTGAAACATGCTCTGATATTATGAGGCATATTCTGTGATCATGTAATCATTAACTTTAATGTCAATACAGTCATTACATAATAGGCATTGTATTTAACAGCAGATATTACAACAGGCACAGTTACACAAGTTTTATGACCCCAATTAGATGAAATATGAGCTGAGATGAAAGATCTCAAAAATCCTCAATTTTGGGCTCTCCTGGATCGCCAAATCAAGCTCATTATATCATGGCATCTCAGGGCTGAGAAGAAATGAGATGTCATGATTTATCATGATGATTGTTCCATGCTAATTACATTCTAATGTGGGATTTAATTAAACATTTTACCTGTTATGCCTGCTACAGTAAGGGTCATCAGCATAAACTATTGTTGTCTGGCCTTGCTGTGCACCTGGTACAACTGAAAAAGTAGTTCATTAGCTTTATATTTTATGACACGTTAAAAAGGTGAAACATCTTGATTAAAAATGGATCATTAAATGAAATAAAATAAACATGATAAATACATGTATGCAATATTGATTAACATATTTTATTGTCCATTTTATGTATATAAACATGATTTCACAATCTAGATCTATAACGCCTATATTAAATCTGAGTATGCTTTCAAAAATGTTTCATTTCCAGGAGCATGTACATTAAGAGAGAAGTATAGCACTGTCCACTTATTTCTAAATGGGCCAAAGATGAATTGCCCTATTTACAGTCCCTGACTGCAATGGCTTTCATGACTGAAGATGGACAGACTTTGTGCTTCTCCAGTCTAAAATCTTATCGAGGAGATGGACTTAATATAATTGACATACAGTAATGTCATATTGCACTGAATCATTAGGATAGGGGCTTCATATAAATAACATACTGTAATATTGCACTGAATTATTAGGATAGGGGCTTCATATAAATAACATACTGTAATATTGCACTGAATTAATAGGATAGGGGCTTCATATAAATAACATACTGTAATATTGCACTGAATTAATAGGATAGGGGCTTCATATAGATAACATACTGTAATATTGCACTGGTTGCCCATTATGGTGTACCGTGTACATCTGTTGCTGGCCAGGAGAGGGACAGTACACATTCCCACCATTGTGAATTACAGTGACTTGTCCGAGTGGCCTCTGGTGAACTATACCTGGTGATAAAACACATTAATTTTAATAACATTAAACATTTTATTTTATCAATAAATCAAAAACAAATGTGCATAAACAAAATTTTTGATAACAGTGTAAAAGGTCTCAGCGTTCGCTCTGGCTATCACCTAACTTTTGCCTCTTGTCTTTTCTAGAATTTTGACTTCAAAACCAGATTACACTATATACTTTGCCTGCTCTAATCTTGGTATATACAGTAAAACCTGTCTCCATGAACACCTCTCTCTAGTCAACACCTGTCTTTAGTGGATACCCTCCCCCCCCACATACTCTACTGACTTCTGTATAAATTGCTCTCTGTAGCGAACACCTACCAACTATATTCAATATACACAGGTTTTACTGTACATTGTACTTATTTTGCATTTATAACATTGACCATTTTCAGTTATCACATACCATGTCTTGTTCTACCAAATAGGCCATGGTTCATATGAATCTGTTGCCCATCAATGTAGGGTGGAGGTGCAGATTGTGACTGAGGAGGCCTCATTGCTCGAGCCTGTTCCAGGGCTATATGCCAAGCCCTAAAAAAAAGTGTCACATGTTTTTTAAATCTTAATTGAGTAATATTACAAACTTTGGATAAGCATGAGACCTTAAAATGAATTAAAATATATATTATATATTGATTAAATTATGATTTTAGTACTTCTGAATAAAAAGACCAAGAACAACAACACATAAAGAAACTACATAAAACTATTTTTCTCATCCTATCTGCCATATATGAATTCTACCCATTGTAAAAGTGTCCTCATGAAGTGAGCCATTACCACAGACATTGATATATTAGTTAAACATTTGGTATTAATGCACAAAATGATATCATGCTGGGCCAAGAAATTGTCTAAGATTAAGAATAAGTTATAGTGACACTGACATACTTTGCATCATCTTGGTCGGCTCCAGAAAACACCCATCTCTCTCCATTGGTCCTTACAACAGCAAACAGACAATTGATTGAGGCTCCATCTGGTGGTGCAGCTAAACACTGAAATAAGAGACAAAATTGTAAAATATACGTGTACAATGGACATTGCACTTTTCATTAGTTTCAATCTAATACTCAAATGCTCATACATGGAATATTTTGCGCTTTAGCATTGAACACTGACTGACTCGAAACATGTCAAAAATGTGTGAGAGAAAAAATCCCATGTTTGGTCAAGTCAGTCTAAAGAATATGGAGCAAAGAACTTCTGCAATATATTAAATGGATGAATAAAAATTACAACGTGTTAGACAGGCAAACAAACAAACATACTTACAGCTGTGCCAGTTTGCATACATCGTACATCTTTGTGCATCAGTACGACATCCTCAGCAACATGACTGTCTGGGCTTTCAAAGTACTTTAAAATCCCATCAACATACAGGACCAACCAAGACCTTTTCCAACGTTTTAGTATTGTACCTTTCAAAGTAAAATAATATTGCTGAAAAACTGTATTCATTACTACAACACAATTGAATGCAATAAGAAGTAAGGTCGATTTAAGATTTTACTTTTTTAATAGGCTTTAAAATGAAGAATTTAAGGTATTTAGGATTGTAGAAACTAGGGTAAAAAATGGGTTTGTATTCAGAGATTTTAAAGTCATTGAATGTTAAACTTTCAGGAATATCCATGATCCAAGTTTACTAAGGGATATTCCCTTACAAATTTCAACTAATTTCTATCCCTCTCAGTCCCTTTAAATTACCCACCATCACCCTGGAATCTGTGTTTTATTGATCTGATCAACTGATCAAAGGAAGGTGCTAAATTCTAGTTTGCCTACTGACATGACTGAGCAAATATACTCACTTTGGCGGTTGAGCCACCCTGCTTTTGCGATCTCAAATGCCCCTGAATTTGTATTAGATGCAACTGCCATATTTTTAATAAATATCTGAAAATATAAATAAAAATGGTTTCTTTGGTACTACAGTGTATGTACAGTGATCTCTCCAGCATTAAAGCAAGTGGGCACAGCACCCACCTGAGATTTTAAAAATAGGCTTGCACCCACCTGAAAATTCATTTGCACCCACTTGAAAATGAGAAAAATCATGAAAAATGGGCATATTTAAACCAATTTTGGTCTGAATTGTGAGAGTAAGAATTTTGCATCCACTGGAGAAAAAATCCTATTGACAAACAAATTGCTACACTGTCGTAATATCGAGGATACTTTAGGTAAAGATTTAATACAGATTCCAAAATCCAAAAATCTAGAGATTTTTGCATCTATATGTTAGATTTAAACTATTAAATTTTATTAATAGTGTTCATTTTTTAGTTGCAACAAGTGAGTGTATTTATAAGCGATATCATCAGGTGTTGCATCAAGTGTTCAGACATAACAGTTGTTAGGTACTGTAGAAGAAGAGTGTAGGTAAAATGTATGAACCTTTAAATATCTCTCTATCAGTCTATGCTTGTATATGAGATATGTGCCCGTTACATTTAGCATGAACACATCGAGAAATAATAAAAGGTTTCACTACATGTATACCCTCTGCATTCGTTCCACTTCACTTCTTAAAAGAGAGCTTTGTCTTCACTTTTTCAGTTTACAATAAATCTCTGATCTTACCAAGCCAATCAAAATTTGTCGTAGAAATACGGACAACTTTCTATATGGTCATTTCCTATGGCATCACCACATAATTAATGAGCATGTATTTAGCATGCGTTCCTTCCACTTCGCTGAGTGGTTGAGGAAGGGTCAGCGTGGTAGATTTGCAATGATTTATTACCCAGGCTGTCACAGGCACCAATCTTTGAGGCGGGGCTGCTAAACTGTTATATAGTCTATACTAGGCAGAGGGACTCTGCACGCAGGGTACAACTAGACTTCAAGATGTCCCTAGTCCTACTAGGGACATCTCGCATACCATTGAATAGATTGTCGCAGAATTCGGCACTCATAAATGTGAAAATTATGATGTTAGTTGGAGACCTACCCCTTCATTTGACCAGCCCACTTCTTTCCTGTCTCATTTATACAGTTGAAATTGTAATTCTTGAGTTCTTAATCAAGTAAATCTTCTATAAGTTCTATAATGTTCTATAAGTTTAATGTCCAAGCAATTTCAAACTTCGTTGAACCCGTTCGTCTGCACCAGAGGCAATCTGCGCAAGATTCCATTTATTGGTTCGGTTTTTAGCACATGCGCATTGAATCCAGCAATTTAATTGGTTCAATTCATAAAGACGCATGCGCATTTAATAACTTAATAGAACATATAATTTAGTTTAAAAGTTTGACATGCGATACCGCGCATGCGCATAAAGAGGATTTTAATTTTCAAATTCAGTTTCAAATTTTTAACACAAATCTCGTAATTACTCATGAAATACCAAATGACTTCAATAAAAACGTAGCAGAGTGATTTCGGAGCATTCAAAGATAGGGTAGGTGCATAGTTTATCGCAGTTTGGTCTACATGTACATGTATATAAACTTATGATGATGAGTCAATCGCATGCACTGAATCAAATAAAAATGAGCATAATTTTTCAATTTTTTAGATAATTTCTACCAAAAACACCAGCACCGATTGATTGAGTCTACAACTAAATAATTATTGGATTAAATACTTTGAACGTTTTAAGATTTGTAAATATACTGTTGATTCAAGAGAAAACCAAGCATTAATAAGTATAAGAGTAAATTCTTACCGAATTCTAAATTTTTATGCGAAATTGTTTTTAACGGAAGTGTATTATTTTACTGCGCAATTAGTTTCGCGCACAATGACATCATAGTGTGCATCGAAACATCGAACGAACATAAAACTGTTTTATTTGGTCGCAGATGTATATTGTGGATCTCACAATGGGGTTAATGGGCATCTCTGATATCTAATCATAATATCGAGGAATAATCCAACCATGTCACCATCGACCTTTCTTTGAAATATTTACACACGGACTTTTTCAAAATGAAAGTGATACAAGATTCTTAAATAGTACAATTTAGAATCCCGGTAACGGAAGAGAGAAGATTGCCCAAAATCTCAACAGTGGTCAACGCGTTTTTACATCAGTATAGAATTTTATTGTATTTCAAATCAATATAGGGGATTACTCCTTTATTGGCGTTAAGGACTGTCAATACTGATGGCAAAGAATTCAATGGGTTTAATTGTATTCCAATTCAACATGTAAAAAGTGTTTCAAAAATATTCTTCCACGACTGAGAAAAATGCGACAGGGTAGCTTAGGAAATGTTACTTTACATACATAAATATAATGGAACATATTGTTACGCGGTAAACACGATACAAATAGTGTCATATTCCGCAACGAATTTGGCATATTCACTTGTGGTGTATGACAGATTCACCTGCGGGTATACTCACTTACCAATGAGAACGTCCATTTCATCGTTGAAATCAACAGGTAAAAGTTTATAGATTATTATAATGATTACTAAATCGACAGAACAGTGCAGGGAATATATCAACTAATGCAGAAGTATCACTTAGCACTAATCATCTCGCGTAATAAACTTACTCAATAAATCTAGGATTCAAACATTAATAGTCGAAGTACTAACTACAGGGTGGGCCAAAAAAAACACCCCCCTAGCAATTACTCCTGATAAATATTTATTTTTTAACATGTACACCAACAATGATATATCATTTTAAAGATAATTTAATTTGCAACAAAATGATATATAATACAACAATTTTCAACAACCCTGGCTCGAGATATAACCATTTATGTGACATGGGGGTCAAAAAACACCTTTTCAATTTTCATCGATTTTGCGAACAATAGCCTATTTCTACCAAATTTTACTGTTCAGTAAAAAATTGCAACATTGTCATGAGTCTTTCATAATTGGATAATATATGAATTGTTTCATTCAGTTTTTGAACCATTCATGCTCAATAAACATGTGTATGCTTACAAAACAAATTAATTTCTTCTTAAATATGGCTCAATAGACAAATCCCCCGGACCCATCCTCTGATCGGATTCTCTAAAGACGCGAAAGCCATTGGTATAATTGATGGATCTCTGCGGAAGTACCATCGAACTCATAATTATTCATTCTTTCAGTTTGTCTACTTCCCTGATAGGCTAGTGCTCTTCATAGACCAACTGTTCTAAATGCCCCAAGTACTATACATGTAATCAACAGGATAGACTGTATATCAGTAAGCAAGAATAGGGACATTTGCGATAAAAGGCTACTCAAATCGAGAAAGGGTAGTGGTGTCCACTCGGTTTTTCCCAAAAAGGAAAGAATGTACAGCCCCTGTTTTTGTTGAACCAGGAGCAAAAATATACTCTGAATGTTAATGACATGAGGTGTTAAAAAGGACTCCTCAAGGATATAAAAACATGTGAAAGAAATTTCATTTTCTGAAAGGAAAGTGCTTCATCACACAGGTCCAATGCTACCCTTGAGTTTTTGGAGATTCGAAATGACACCATCTCTAGCCCGGACAAATGGCTTACTGACAGTCCAGATGCCAATAATGTTGATTACCATACCTGGGGGCATCTAGAACAGTTGGTATTTAAAGATTCCCAGCCTATCAGGGATGTAGAGGAACTAAAAGAAAGAATAACTAGCAGTTGAATGGTACTTCTGCATACATCCATCAATTATGCCATCAACCAATGGCTTCCGCGTCTTAAGCGAATAATCTGATCAGAGGATGGGTCCGGGGGGTGGGTCTATTGTGCCATATTTGGACAGACTGAAGAAGGAATTAATTTGTTTTATAAGCATACACATGTTTATTGAGCATGCATGGTTCAAAAACTGAATGAAAACAATAAAGAATATCCAATTTTGAAAGACTCATGACAATGTTGCAATTTTTAACTGAACAGTAAAATTTGGTAGAAATAGGCTTTTGTTCGCAAAATCGATGAAAATTGAAAAGGTGTTTTTTGACCCCCATGTCACATAAATGGATATATCTCGAGCCAGGGTTGTTGAAAATTGTTCTATTATATAGCATTTTGTTGCAAATTAAATTATCTTTAAAATGGTGTATCATTGTTGGTGTACATGTTAAAAAATAAATATTTATCAGGAGTAATGGCTAGGGGGGTGTTTTTTTTTGGCCCACCCTGTATATTAGTAATCCAGCGTTGTTTTAAATTTAGAGTCGATTCTCGCAACCAATCATATCAAGGCTTTCTGTATTACGTTTCACCTGCAGCATATGTCATACTCCCCTTCGGTATATGGGAAGGCATATTCCGCAAGTGAGCAGTGGCGGATCCGGGGGGCATGGTCTTAAGTGGGCCCAGAATTTTATAGTTTTTGAGCCCCAGAATTGTGTAGGGCCTATAAATGGGCCTTTTGTGCATAATTTGGCCTTATAATGCTTTTTTGGTCAATGTAACAAAAAATGGGCTTTAATCTTTCAAAATTTAGGCCCAATTTTTTCCAGACTCCAAATTTGCCCCCCCCCCCCCATTTTAATTTCTGGATCCGCCACTGGTGAGTATGACATATTCACCCGTATCACAAATACCGCGCAACCATGAATATATGCCATATTCCGCGTAACATATATCCTACATATACAGTATATACCTTGTTTAGTCACGTGTGAGTTAATTGCAACTAAAATGAAATGAAATGAAAATGGAAAATCCTTTGTCCCACATTGTGTTGGTCTTCGTCTACGTTTATATCCCCTCTGTTCTGAATTAATGTTCTGAGACTTGGATACGGTTCTTTATTTTATAGGGTTTCGCTATTTCCCCGCCGTGCGTTGCTTCAGGGATTCATCATCACAAGGTCGTTCATGATATTTTACATAATACAATGCTCGTAGCCAGGCATGAGACGGGCAAGGCAGTTACCTCGACAAAGTTTTACAGAAAAATGTTGATGCAGATATTCATTATATTATATTGATATAAAAGTCTGATGACAATATTTCCTTTAACTTATTCTTGCCTCACCTATCTTAATTTGCCTCACCCCACGCCTCAATACATATGGAATGAACCCAGAGCATGTGGATAAAAATCTAAAAAGTGTATAATTAAATGGCACTTTATAAACAAAATGAGCTAAAAACTTAAATCAACGTCTATATATAATAGATACAAACCCATTTATCCGGGTCTGAATCGTGACATTGGATAAAAAAGGCCTCATTGTTCGATTAGCATTAGAGCATATGTATGTCTTGCTGACTGTCTGATTTGATGGCAGGTGGGGAGATGGGTGGGTTCGGGTGTTGGATGGTTTGGTTGTTTGGTAAATAGGTGTATGATAATATTTCATCAATTTGTTCTGTATCAGTAATCATCTTCCTAAATGATTTAAGGGCCATTCTATTGGCTTGACTTCGTGTGTCTGTTTTATTTTGTCATCTTTTTTGTACGACATCGCTTGAATTGGTCTTTACAAAGAAAACAAAAGAGACAAATTTCAAAAAAGTAACACTTCTATTTCACGTATTTTCTATGTACATAAAATAATACATATGTTTATTATTTGTTTCGTCTCTCATCTCATCCCTATGCTCATCGGATGATTAGCTTGAGAAGAGACGAGGGACTGCCATTTCACCATTGATATACGGAGCATGCAAAATATACAATGAATTGGTATGGTGCACTAAACTGGACTGGTAGCGTTTAATTCTGAATTCAAATTCATCGTCTTTTAATAAAGACTGCTTTATCTAATTCAAAAGCTATGATCCTCATAGATTTTGCACTTTAAGAGGACTATAGTATATTTTCTATATATTTGTAACTTCCCGGTTAAATAACTGCTGATAACGTTGATATATTTAGAATTGCTTGTAACCGTTCATATCAAGAATCGTCTTGAACCACACCAGTCCATGTTCACGAGCTCCGTACACTAAGGGTGTATTAAAAACGCAATAACTGTAAAGAAGGATAACAATTTCAATACGTTACATGTCTGTTTTCATTTATCTGTAAGTAATCCTAACAATCCATCATCCTATTGTAATATAAACCTCTCGCAAAACACCAATGTAAATAAGCTCTATCAAAGGAAATTTACATTGATAACAATGGTATTTAAAGCAAATACGGCAAATGGGAATGTAACGCGCTATATGCGTCATTGATCTATATACATAACAAAGGCAAACATAGTGACACCAATCTCTAAATGGCATTGTACACTCGTAGGTTAAGATGATAATTATTGAAAATTATCAAAATCTTTACCTTTCAGTATTTAATGTTAGACATATGATAATTTGTTTCCATATGAATTAAATCCTTAAAATATTAGTAAAACCGTACATGTAGCTCTTCTTTTTTCAACATCAGAATAATAAAGTCATTAGACGCACTGCACATAACTTCAACGCAGTAATTTGCAAAGTTACCGTACCCATTTCTTAATTACCGAAATAACTATTCCTCAATTGCTAAAGTAAATGTTCAAATGGATGGAATATTCTCCATTGATATTTACAGATTTTGATATTTGTATAAAATAGTAAGCTATGTAGGTAAATTCATTCCATGTTGTAAAAATTGACCGTACCTATTACATAATTACCAAGATAATGTGTACAATACGATTGGACGGAATATTCTGATGACATTTTACAGATAATTGTATAAAATAATTGTATGCTCATGTATTCCATATTGTACAAAACAGTACCTTTTCCACAAATACCAAGATAACGTGTACATACGTTGGACGGAATATTCTAATGACATTTTACAGATTTTTGATACAAATAATATATCAGATACGTTTTACGTTCTTCTATGTTGTTAACATCTATATGACTGTGATAAAAAATGTTTGTATGGCAACAGCAAATCTATATAAAATATCTCAAATCGCTTGATTGCATCCTTTGTATGCGAACTTGAGATCGTGAGCGCTGGACGGAATATTATTTGCAATTTAATTAAAGATTAGATTCTTGTACACTGGACGGCGTGTTGGGGAATATAGAAATTCTATTAAATATCCATTATAGCGTAACAGTCAGATAACAGCTTTTACTTCATTTGAATATTTCAAAACTGCGTCAGTTTGGTTGCAACACAATCCAATGTAATAATGTTTCCAAATGGAAACTTGAACACTCGTGGCTATTCTACCTGGCCGTGTCAAATAAGACTACCATTCGTAAATATTTTACTGAGGCCAGAGCAATGGAGACCCATGTTTAGCGGCATGTTTTCACTGAACAATAAAGAATTGTGCTTTTTATCCTCAACTCAGCTATGTCTGTGCGAAATACACACACTTCTCACAATAAACAAACTAACATGATCCTGTTTATATTATCAAGGATTACGAATAAACTCAGGAGAATATGTTAAACATAATATTTTTCCTGGTCTTAGATATAGCTCTGTTCGATAAGTGAAAGGAGCATTTAAAAATCATTCAATGAGTCTTTACAGGATATCGACTTATCTCTTCAACATTCTTGCGTCATCTCTGTTAACCTACAAATCCGGGATCATTTGAATACGAGCCGACGTGAGTAATAAGCATTATCGTATGATCTGTAAAATGAAGCCTTCTGATTGGTCCGTTCTTGTGCTGTACCAATCTGTATTGCTACTGAGATTGTCCCCCATTGATCATCTCCGTCGCAATACAGAAAATATTGGTACGGAGGAGACATTCTCAGTAGCAATACAGAGGATCAAACGATATAAAAACGTTATAGAATGATTTGAAGTGCAATACAGGATATATTCTGCTCTCGATAATCTGTATTGGCACTCGACTTCGTTTCGTGCCATTACGGAATTTCTCGAGCAGAATATATCCTGTATTGCACTTCAAATCATTCTATAACTTATAGTATAGAACCCTACATGTAGCTCTGGGGATTTACATTTTCGAAAAAATGTGCTTGGTTATTGAAGCACACTCACACGTATGCCCGAGGAGGATTCTCCATCCCGATGGACAGAAAGTCCATTTCCACGTGACTCTGATTTGCTCTGATTCGCCCCGATGGGAATGAACATAAGCTTACTCAAGGAGGATTGGCTCCCAGAGTGCACCACCGATATTCTGTCCCATATATGGGTATGTCGTAATACAAAATTCGAATTCAAACAGCCGCCATTTTGTTCACTTCAACATTTAAATCGTGAATTTTGGTCTTATTTCCAAACGAAAAATTCCAAAACTCACAAGAAATGATCGAGATATTGGTTCGAATCTTTTGAACTGTTTATTTTGAATTTATAGTCGGTTTTAATTTCAGAAAATAACGACATTTCGACGTTTTCATTGTTGGAAAATATCGAGTTTCGATCCTGGGAGCCAATCCTCCTTGAGCTTACTGTTATACGTTATGAGGTCACAAAAGATAATACCTTCAACGTATTCCCTTATCGCCTATTTCTCTTTAAGGGAAATTATAATTTGCATATGGATTATCTATGGGTAGAATACACGCACATCGCTGCCGTATATATTACATTTTTCTCCCGGGATTTTTCTTATCTTGATTCGCGCCTACATAGACGTATGGTTTACAATCTTGGAAGTAATCTCTCGCTCTCTGCCTTTATTATTGTCCGATTTATAACTTTTACTTTCACCTATATCTTTCCTTAATTAGCCTTTCCATATGTTTGCTTTTGCGTCGATATGAATGAGGCCTCATCTCATTACTAGGCCCAAACACTCAGGATACGACACCATCGTTGTCCATTAGCCCCTCTGCTCCATCTAACGTTTGCCCTTGCTATTCCCCCTCGTTTGTATCTTTTCCAATCTTTACTCCTTTCTTCCTCTGTAAAGTATTTTTCTAATGTCCTTCTCCCTCTGCCCCTCATCTCTTTCTCCCTCTCTCTCCCCGGTGTTCGTCCATATCAAATAACGTCCTTTAACCTACGACAAATAAGGTTTCAGGTACATTATTTAGAATCGATATCTTGGAGACAGATTCGTTGGAATACGCTATTTAAGCGAAACTATATTTAGGGTAAAGAAAAACTATGACATTGTCACTGATATAAAGTTCATGAAGCGTAGAGAGGCTTTAGCAAAGAAACAGAAATCTCTAAAGCAGAAAGAACTTGAAAATCAGTCATAATACTTGTCATGGGATAAATTAGTATTTGTGATGCTCACTTTTGGATATGGGGTATATCCCTCGTGAAATATGAAATATGTATTTGTTCTCCTTCAGACAAACCGTATTGCTCCATCTCTTTCGCCTCCCTCTTAGTCGTTCAAAGAAGACACGGGGTACCAATTAAAGTATATTCAAGGTCACAAAGGGAGCGTTACGTAAACCCAAAAAATCGACCCATTTGTAAAATCTGTCAAGTAGCCTCGATCCATAAGGACATCTCCGACTGATAACAATAAAGGGATTTATCTGTTTATCGTTGATCGAAGTTGGTAAAGAATTTATTTCTTTTGTTTCAACGTTAGATGTTTCAATCGTCCTGTTATTGTATTTCCTTCTAATTGAGAACCAATAGCACTATCAGTGATGAATCGATGTATTTCTAGCAGAGAATATCCCCCGGAGTCTGGAATTATCTTAACTACCTGTATTATTATCTTGCACTTTGTATTCTTTATTAAAGGCAGCCATTTTGTTGAAGGCCCCTGAGTCACACAGCTTATTTTTAATGGCTGTTTATTTATACAATATTTGGTAGGCCGTGGTGCATACTTAGTAATAAATAAAATTATCTATATAAACTCACAAAAATATATGATATGATATGTTCCATACACACTAAAATGAATTTTTATTCACATCCAGTTATTTTTTCTGCTCGGGGGACGGTTTATTTCATCGTCGATCTCCATGCTTTGTAGTGATGCGACCGACTGGTCACTCCTTTCGCGTGATCTTCCACTCGTGCTCCGGCTTCTGTTGATATCATTACTGCGACTATTCCCTAAATCACTTCGAGACCGAATATCGTGATCCGTGTTTATGACGTCAATGTCCTTTTCATCATCTTGCTCGAAAGCGTGATTTTTGAATGTCTTGGTGGATCCACTCGATCCTAAATCAGAGAAACGTTGGGCCTTGAGTTTCCTCTGTTGCTGGATATGGTTAATGAAGTACTTTATATTTTTCTTCATCATTCGCTTGTAATGCATATGAAGTGTATGAAAGTCGAGAAGGATGATGAAAAATACGGGCACACACATTAGGATAACGGCAGTTATTCCGAATGTTTCGGCACCCGGGGCATCAACGGCCTCGTGGAAATCATCCGGAAGTACGATCGGCACATGGAACGGGTCTATGGTGGTGGTACTGTTTGTATCTGGATCCTGTGTCACTGAAAATACAAAAATAAAAAGGCTGTATAGTAAAGATTCGGTCTTTTCTACAATTTTGAACTATTTTAGGATAGAAATATATTTTTATGAATATATGAAAATTTTATTGTTTTACAACACATACGCTTCAAATTGAGCTATAATAAATATCCAGGGATGTAATACGATTCCCAAGATGTTGTCTGGGGCACTATATTAGACCCACGGTCAAAACCAAACACATGGTGTCAAACAAGTCTCGTCCCCCTGCTACAGCCAAAACCGAATATATGGTAAATGGTGTGATATATCATTGGACAGACCATCCAAAGTTGATTGGCATATATCTGATACCAGTTTATGTATACCATACATATTAGCCAGTCTTTGGCACACCACGTAGCTTTCGTAAAATGAAAATCTAGGGAAACCTTTTCCTCTAAAATTAATGTAGTTAAGTGGACGCTTAAACGATGCCCTCTTAAAAAGAGTGCAAATATATCCAATGTAGCACTTTTTGATTAACATACGAAAGAAACGAATAACAAAACGGGCAAAGATGAGTTTATTTATTATTTTATACTCGTTCCGAAGTCGGGGAACATGTAGCGAATGTAATTTGCAGTAGAACACGAACTGATTTGTTTGGACAAATAAGTCACCGTTTTTTTTTAAAGAATGTGAGTATTAAACAAAGGCCTTTGGATGGAATCTATAGATCGGCAATTGGTAGATTGCGTGAATTAGTGTTAACGCAACAATAGACTCAGTGGAGAGTATTGGAATTCGAATCATCATTTTGTTGCTATTAGCAACATCAATTTCCAAGATGGAGGGTAGTGTCGCTTCATTGTGCGATAGAGTTTTAACTGGAACATTGAATACAATGCTGAGCTACATATTGCACTAAGAAATTGATCATTTGTTATGTTGACGCAAATCTAGATGGTGATCTATATGCTTGGCAAAATAATCAACTTAGAGGTTAAATGCGTTCTAAAACGCCGATTGTTTTATAATTTGCTTGTTTATCATTTTCTTCGCAGCCCATGGACAGTTGAAATAACGTCTCTAGAATTAGCTTGATATTGTAGCTCATGATCATGACAAACTGGTCCTATGAACAGAAAATGAAGGTCACAGTTAGGATGAATTATTTCTTCATCAAAGGTCGCAATAACTGTGATTCTTAATTCAACCAGCCGTTTGCAGAGCATGGATGAGATTTTCCAAAAGTTCTCAGGCGATATTTTCCGATGGTGATCCTTTTGATGACGTTAATAACCCTATGTTATTTGCCTTTAAGACAACATTCAGAAGTCTTCTAACCTGTTTTTGTTTGCTGATAATTCTTATAAAGTTTTAAATATTGAGAAGGTTGGTACAATAAGTTTACAATTAAGAATAACGATTCGTTCCCTAAAACGTATTTAACCTGTTAAAGATCACATCCATCCAGTTTTTTATAAAACTTTCAACTTTATCATTGTTTGATGACAGAGTTGTGAAATAATAATTAGTGTTAACATTTGAGCTTCAATTGAATCATAAGGGACATCTTCGGATGAGATTGTATCAAATATACTGTTAAACTTGTATTCTGTGATACGACGTCAGATACTGTACATCACGGCGTAACATTGTAATTGTTCATTTTACCGACAAAATGCAAAGATTTACACGATAAATATGCGCAATGCTCCTCCAAGTAATTGCAGAAGTTTTAATATTCGTGGAATCTTCTTAAAAACTTCAAGTTTTGTTCAGATCAATGTGCGCTTCAATACAATTCTATATTCAAAAGGGTTGTGTCACGATATACAGAATTAGAATCACCAGAAAGTAGACATTTATAACCCTACCCGTTTTCTTCTTTGTCGCACTTTTCGGCCCTGCGCTCTCGTTGTCGCACCGTCTTTCTAGACTCTTTCACAGTGCCCCTTGTCATATTCAACTGATATACACAGACGGGAAGATATTAAGGATTGTTAAATGCATTATTTGTAATTTATTTTAACTCGAATATTTAGTTTTATTTTTTTAAAGCAATGAATAATAAAGGAGAACATATAATACGCTAACGGCGTAACGTCTTATTTTGTAAAGGCTTCACTTGGGGTTGCGGTGATAAAACGATGTCTATCTCAATATATAGTGGTTCAAATTAAATGAAATTAATTGTATGTAGTAAGGGATATATTTAAAAGAACATGCTGAAACATTGGAAAGTTTTGAATGTTTATCCCTTAATTAGAAATATTTGAACTCAAAAAATGAAACGTAATTTTGTGAATTTTTCACATGGCTTCACTTCATATTTCTTTCAATTTATGCTTCTTACAGGCTGAATTTTAATCGAAATGATATAGTTTTTTGATAAAAATATAGAATATGATATGCCTTTCAGGAATCAAAAAAGAATAATTCACCTTTCAAACGATTTAATGTTTAATTGACCAAAATATATATCTTGTTGGTACGAAATTCTGCCTGTCCACACTTTTTTTGCATAAATATAAGCGTTAAGTTAGCATTGTTATATTATGACGTCATCACACAGAATCTGTTTGTCTTTTCCAAAATGGTGAATTTAAATTTTGTGAAAATTTTAGAAAGATCCGTTAAGAAATGAAAAGGTTATCTTAATTTTTCGTTTAAAATTAAAATCATTTTTCTTCAAAATGTTACAGTCCACACCCGGTTTTAGCATAGAAAGTCGCATAAAACGGCTTGCGTGATTCTCATTTAAAAAGTCCCAAATCAGTTATTTGGAATTCTGATAGGCAAAATATTTCATGGACATACGTGTTCAACTGATGACGAAAAATTGTAGAAAAATATGATTTTGCTGTCGAGATATTGCGGTTTTAAAAGTAAGTACGCATGTAAAAATGCAGTAAAATGCCGCGATGTACAGTATCTGACGTCGTATCTGTCAGTCATTCATTTGTTGAAATCAAGGATGCCGTCAACACCTGAGTACATACAAGCCCGTAGCCAGAGGCGGGTTCGACCCCCCCCCCCCTGGCCAAAAAATCTTTCAAAATCATGCAGTTTTTCACCATTCTGAGCATTTTTTAAGTGACTTTGGCCATTTTTGGACCAAAATTGTCACAAGTGAACCCCCCTGGAATTTTTCAAAAAGTGAATCCTGGCAAATCCTGGCTACGGGATACCCATTGTGGTATAAGTTTTATGTCATAGTGTTTAATATGTGGTGTGTCATTAGTGAATATCTAGAACGCGCACAGTGATAACCTTTTGAAATTCACTGCCTTTAATCTAAAAAGTCAGTCAATGAGATTGTCAACAAGGTTTGATCATACGGATGATCATATGATCCAGATGGATCAATATAGATCTGGATGGAACAACTAAAACCTTAAAAATCAATTTGAGTCGTTCGACACCATATTTGTTTGTGGTACAAAGATCCGCAAAGATCATCAGTTTGGATGTCGGGCTTGCCATTACGGATCAAGGATGACGTCTTTGGACATGGTCAATATTAATACGATTATTCATGATTTAGTTTATTACTTATACTTTATTATCTTCATATCTCTGTCTAATACGAACGATACATCAAGCTTAAACACAAATGTATTGGGAAGAAGGACAACTTATAGCAATTCATTAAGTTAACCCATTTGAAAGCTCAGAGTAAATATACGTTATGTTCCATAAAATACCGTTGTTATGCCATTGTTTGCAATCGATTCAATGACAATAATAGGGATTTAGTATGCAAGCGCTTTATCAAGTTTTATTTTCCGACATATTTCCTGTTTTAGAAAGATCTTTCCATCGCTGACAGCGAGAATAATGGAAGATTAATGAATACCTTTGTAAACAAAAGAATTGTTGACGAACATGGTATTCTTAATAAGTACAAAAGTTCAGATATTCCAAACACCCATAAACTCATGATAAATATTAATAAATATAGCTAATTAATGATTCATCGAACTCATTAATAAAGTACCGATACATATAGCTCGGGGGAAATAAAACGACACTCAATTTGAATCCATAATATCATTAATAATTGTGTATGGGATCCCAAAAGGACATACTGCCACTTTAAAAATCCGGATCCTTTTAATTAAAAGTTTTTATAAAATAATCAGAAACATTTGCTTTGCTGTCAAGATGGACTATGTGTTGTTTTGATTTATACCAACACAAAACAACAAACGAATACAATACGATTCAGCATCAAATCATTACATTTTACATAAACAAATCCGAATTTTGGGGTCAATTACCCTATTTTGGCTTATTTTGCATTATTTACTGCGTAACTAATGTGATGACACATATCCCAATACATCGGAGAAAATTTATCAAGATTTCTGTAACCGCCACTTATTGATATCGAAAGATATTGATTCTACGTATAAAAAGTTATACAGGACATTCAATATGTATTGTTAATTTTGCTATAACCAAAGGTTGCCCCCCATACCCATGACAATTGTTACTATAGTAACTATAACTTTGTCAAAATGTTGTTGATTGTCAGGAGATTTTGATAGGATACGGTCATATATATGTTACTTATGTGGTTAAAGTTTCATGAAGAAAGAAGCGAGAGAACAAAAATAATAGCAGAATTAGCAATACTTATTGAACGCCCTGTAAATGTGGTCCCATCATTTTGTTTTATTTCTTTATCAGAGTCTCAATTAGAGACAGTTTGGCTCGTATTGTTTGTCTTGTGTGTTTTGATAAAGAAAATACATTTTTGTTTTCTCATTGAACCTGCCTACTTAATATATTGCTGACATACTAAGGGCGTATGATGACATTTCACTGTCAGTGTCAAATGAGCTTAGACCCAGAATTGACCGCAAGGCAAAAGACTAGACTACCCTGCACGCAGAGTCTAGTTATAGACTACAGTTTTTGTTACCGATCAGAGACAAAGCTCTCGTTAAAGAAGCGACGACGAACGATATAGACGAAGTATATTTTTGAATCTGAGCGTCAAAATCGGTTGAAATTTCCATATTTCTAAAAGACGGGACAAGTACTACCATTTTACATGGTAGAAAAACCAGAATTGGCCTTCTGATTTCATTACCTTGTTGTCATGGCCCGCCTTTTAGTGATATTGATTTCACGCATAGCTAGACAAGGTGTGTCTGATTCCAGCCAATCCCAGAACAGTGTACATATAACTAAACTGCATTATATTACCTATCACCGCAACGAAAGCTGCGCTGTCATGCAAAGATTTGAAAACAACACCTTCAGAGTCAAGGGCTTAAATCCTTAAACATTAGATATATGAGGGCCATTCGTATAATCAATAACACAAAGGATAGGTATCGATATGGTGAACTGAATTAAAGAATATTTTTCTCTTGAACCAATTATTGAAAACATTCTGTAAAAACGCGGTCCTTTATGTAATGTTGACTGATTGATAACAATTTAATGCGAAAATTATTTATATATATTCTATATAAGGGCAAATTTACAATAATTGATATTTTTTAAATTCCATGAATTCTGCTATTCTACCGCATCCTGCGCCATGTGTATTGAGATCAACGACACTATATATGTGCTATTGTGCTTTCAACACAACTGTTTACCATGACCATGCAATATATATTGAAAATATTGCTTATTATTTCTTAAAAACAGCTTTAATGTTGATTTTTTGGACAAAAATCAAATTTTGCTATGGAAACTCGGACAACATAACAGATTATGCATCAAGTCAGTCGATGATTTCTAACTGGTTAATAAAATATGTTTCTCACCATCTCTCAAAAGAGGTTGTTTGATATGTCGTACTCATTTAAAACTAACACGTTTTATAATGTCCATATGTTTTGTATCCTCCAACACATACTCAACATATTCAATTTACTAAAAAATTCGAATTGATTGAAAATTTATATATCAATCATTTAAATACTACATTGAATTAGTCTAATTTCTGAAAATAATTGTTTGAAATAAGTAATGTGCATTGATTAAATCTTAATGTTTGGAGGATACAAAATATTGGACAGCAGAACCTAAATCCACCACAAAAACAACAATATTTTGTCTGATGTTTTCATTGTCTGTCATTTAAGAGGTAACCCTGAAGGGCACTTTCTGGCGAAATCTCAAACAAATGATGCATCAGCAATGTTAATTTAAACAGTGTGTTGGAGGATACAAAATATTAGACAAATGGTATGTGCATAGAAAAAGCATTTCATTGCATGGGTAACACACATCTAACATCGCCCTTTTCAGACCTGATGTCAAACATATTTTTTTATGTAGTATGAAAAATATCAACGCAATCGATGCTCTGTATGTGCTGTAATCCGGTTTTGTATCACCACAAACAAAACAAAACTTTGTTTTTTGACAAAAAAAACATCATTTAAGCTGTTTTTGAGAAATAATAAGCAATGTTTTCAGTATACATCGCATGATTATGATAACTAGTTGTGATGACTTTGAAATAGCGCACATCAAATGTATCTGGTAGCAACACACACAGCACAGGCTTCAATAAAACAACAGATTTTGAAAATATCAATTATCGTAAATTTGCCCATAACTGTTTTTGTTAAAAATTTTGATTTCTAGTACAATTGTTCCTTTCTACCAATTCTTGAGAATGAAATAAAAAGTCTTTCCGAACCTTGTTGAAACAAAATTGCAGATACAACATTTTCTTAGACCTCTCAATATTATAGTTATACAAAGGAAATTTTGGTTGATTTAAGAAAAATTATCCAAAAAATTAAAACAACCCCCCCCCCCCCCAAATAGATAAAAATTAAGATAAACCTTTTATTTCATTAACAAGATACTTTTTTCAAATCGACCAACATTTCCTTTGTACAATTACAAAATTGAGAGACCCAAACACGTTCTTTATGTCATTTTGTTCCAATGAGGTTCGGAAAGATGTTTCATTTCATTCCGAACACATGATACCAAGAACAAAAGAAGCGTCTGATGTGTTTTCTAAAACAATAAAGATTAAAGTATATATTTTTTTCAAATTATGTTGTTATCATTCAAAAGATGACCATTAAATTGACGATTAAAATTTTTCGAATTTTTTGATGACTGGTTTAAGAAAAACGTGTGTTCAAAAAGTTCACCATATCGATACCAATTCTTTTGCATTTACAGTCATTTGTACAATCAGTAACACAAACTGTATTGAAGAATTGCGTAATATATACATACCCGGGGCAATGGGCATTTACAGTCATTTGTAAAATCACAAATTGTAATGAGGAATTGCGTAATATATAAATACATTGAGCTTTACAGTCATTTGTACAATCAGTAACACAAACTGTATTGAAGAATTGCGTAATATATACATACCCGGGGCAATGGGCATTTACAGTCATTTGTAAAATCACAAATTGTAATGAGGAATTGCGTAATATATATATATTGGACATTTACAGTCATTTGAACAGTCGGTAACACAAATAGCAATGAGGAATTACGTAATATATACATACATTTGGCATTTACAGTCATTTGTAAAATCACAAATTTTATGAGGAATTGCGTTATGTATTCATACCTTGAGCATTTACAGTCATTTGTAAAATCACAAATTTTAATGAGGAATTGCGTAATATATACATACATTTGCCATTAACAGTCATTTGTAAAATCACAAATTGTAATGAGGAATTGCGTAATATATACATACATTTGGCATTTACAGTCATTTGTAAAATCACAAATTTTATGAGGAATTGCGTTATGTATACATACCTTGGGCATGTGCAGCTCTCTGGAAATTTAGCACCAGATACTGTAGGGCAGCACAAAGTGACACCCATGTCAACATATTTGTAGGTGACCAATCAGCAGCTGTCAACATCCACATAATAGTTGGGACATTTCAAATATGGAGCGGATTTTCTTTTATATCATCATAGCATATTTGCTTGGACATCGAAAGCTGAAAATAAAAGGATTTATGAGTAACTTAAGTAAACTGTGTTTTGTTCAAAATTTTAATTTCTATATACCCTACACCAAGTTTTTTAGTTCAAATTTTAATTTCTATATACCCTACACCAAGTTTCCAAATCTAAACCAACAGATAACTCTCGCAACTTTTTAAATAAATGTATCTCATTTACATGTACGGAAACTTTATTTCAAATACTTTTGATTTTAAGGCAACTCATGTATTAAATTTGAATGCAAAATTCTGAAGAAATTATGTTACAAAAGCACCCTTGGTATACGCAGCTAACGAAAATTGACCGGTACGGGTCAAAAGCTGGACCGGTACGGGTTAACGGTTTTATTTGAATTTAAAACAGCCATAACTTGCTCAATATTGACTTCCTCGTGTCTAATTTGAAATATATGATGCCTCCCGATGCTTTTAAGTACCCCAATTTTTTACAGATTTTTAAACGGACCAAAACTCTCTAAATGCGCATTTATGCTCTTTTCTCTCGAGAACGACAAAGAATTTCCTCCTGCTTGCAGCGAGAAGACGGACCAGTTCGGGGCAATAGCTTGCAGCGAGAAGACGGACCGGTTCGGGGCAATAGCTATAGAAATTCTTTGTCACAAAGTTTGGCATTTTTTATAAAATCAAACGCGCGTCATTGAAACTCACAAGATGTAAATAGCATGTCATTTACATCATACCTTGATGGGAAAAAATAGATCTTATATGTTAGAAGTACTAAATAAAAGTTATCGTGAAAATGAGACAGTCGTTCTCGAGAGAAAAGAGCATAAATGCGCATTTAGAGAGTTTTGGTCCGTTTAAAAATCTGTAAAAAATTGGGGTACTTAAAAGCATCGGGAGGCATCATATATTTCAAATTAGACACGAGGAAGTCAATATTGAGCAAGTTATGGCTGTTTTAAATTCAAATAAAACCGTTAACCCGTACCGGTCCAGCTTTTGACCCGTACCGGTCAATTTTCGTTAGCTGCGTATACCAAGGGTAAGGCAGGTGGCATTTTTCTGTATAATCCAGGTGTGTCTGCAAAGGAAAAGACGAAACCTATAGAAATAAAGATATATCTAGGTGTGCTAGTCTTGATCAAACTTCTTGTGGAGTTGCAATATGGAGTCTAGTTTTCATTTGCCAAAGAACAACAGAAAAATCATGCAGACAAAAAAGTTATGGGTGGGTGGTGTCATTTTTGTGTCATCTGGTATTCTAGTCTGTATTATACAGTATTTTTAAAAATTGGCTGTGTCTGACTTCCCCAATGAAGAGAGAATCTTTTCTGACAGGAGTTCGATTTTTTGCATCAAACATCCTCTGATATTTTTCCGAATAGAATAAGAACAATGCCGTTAAATTGCGCAATTATATCGTACTTCGCTAACTGTATTTTCAATTGAGTGCCAACGACGTAAATTCTAAAAAAGCATGGATAGTAAAAATATCCAAGGGTGTCTCTCACGTAAAATTGCAGTGTTGTTGAATTTATAAAAAATCGATCCGGCTCCCTGTTTTCGTTTAACAATGGTATTTTACCATAATAGCACTGGAGAGTCGTCAATCACAAACCTCAAAACCTATAGCTACGAGAGGATCGAAACTTCAAGTTGATTCACCCCGTTGAAGTTGCATGTATAGATTTCTCAATACTAAGGATCAAAAATATTTTTACCATTGTTATAATGTTATGTCTCCCTCATGGAACGGCTGAATTAGTGAATAATCGAACATCTATTTAAATCCTCTATGTACTAAGGTTATATTTAAAATCTCAATAATCGCATGCCGCTATAGCGGAAGATTATTGATATTTCCATTAATTAAACCATAGAATATTCAATTGTTGTTGCTATTTATCCCATTTTGATTAACATAAAACTTATTTCCCTTGTGCCTTGCTATGCAGTAGGGGTTTAGCTACTTGCTAGGTTCTAAAATCAGGTGAGGCCAAATAGATAGGCGAGGCGAACTGAGGCTAAATGAGGTGTACGTCTCATTACATTTTTAACTTCATTTAAACAGTTGTAGTTGAGAAAACGTTTAAAAAACATAAAAATATATCTCTGTTGAATTTTGGTGAAGGAACTACTGCCACATCTGCCTCGTGCCAGGCTTATGTATGTCATATAAAAAACGTGTATGTTGGTTTGAGGAGCCATGGGAAAATGGAACGAACGAAATCGACCAATGCATTCAATGTAACATTTACGTTTTTGGAATCTGTGTTGTTATGCTCCGCTAAAATTCTCTATTAAACAATGAACAACTTTCCGCACTTACCATGACGCAACGTAATTCCATTAGCAAATTAAAAAATACACTGGGGAGCTGTTTTTCTAGTAGATTACAAGCAATCGTAAATTCATCCGTATTGTAAATAGAACATAGTTTATTAAAGTTGCAATTGGCAATCGATTGGATTCTCTTAATTCATCGAAGCTCTGTTTAATTCACTGTAAATAATCTATGGTCAAACACTGCTGGTCAAACACCGCACTGTTTAGATCTCCAACGATTTTTTTTATACCTGTCATCACTGGAGCGAACATTGACTGGTATAATATCTGATTTGTCCTTTGATATTTTCCCAAATCTATATCTTAGTTTATTGGTGACCCCAATGCACTAGAATAGTATTATCTCAACGATTTGGCATGAAGAAAAATCAAATGATATAAGGGGCGGGCTCAAAATATTACTTTCCATGACTTGAAAACTCATTTGAGACATTTTTTGGAAACTTGACTTTTGAAAAAAAAGTTGTTTATCTTATAATTTTCAGATATTTTTTTTCAGAATTTCCTCCCATTTTAGAAACAAAAGCTTAGATTTGCAAATCATCGAATACAACACTAAAATATTGTAAAATACATTATTTCCTCTACTTTATTAAATATATATATCAGTCAGAATACATATTATTTCAACAATTAAAGAATTGTATCGATATTGCGAACTGAACTGAACACATGTTTCTCTTAAACCAGTCATCAAAAAATTCTGAAAATTTTACACATCGTCAATTTTATGATAATCTTTTGAAGGGTAACAATTTAATTTGAACTCTATATTGTTTTAGAAACGAACCAGGCGCTTCTTTTGTTCTCGGTATCATATGTTCGGAATGAAATGGAACATCTATTCGAACCTCATTGGAACAAAATGGCATCTACACATTGTGTTTAGGTCTCTCAATATTTAATTGTAATTGTACTAAGGAAAGTTTGGTTGATTTAAAAAAAGTATCTTCAGTGTTAATAAAATAAAAGTTTTACTTCCATTTGTATCTATTTTATAGGTTTTTGATTTAATTTTTTGAATACTAAATGAACCAATTTCATTCTCGAGAATTGGTAGAAAAGAACAAAAAACAATTGCACTAAAAAACAAAAAAAATGTTAACAGAAACATTTAAACAAAATATATATAAATAATTTTCGCATTAAATTGTTGTCAATCAGTGACAATTACATAAAGAATCGTGTTTTTTAGAGAATGTTTTCAAAATTGATTTAAGAGAAAAACAATGTTGAATTTAGTTCACCATATCGATACCTATCCTTTATTTGGGACCTTTGATTCCATTCAATATACTAAATTGGCTCAGATATTAGTACCATTTCGTATTTTTAAAAGAGAGCATCAGGCCCGAACCCTGCGAACCCCCCCCCTCCTGGCCAAAAATTCTTTCAAAATCATGCAGTTTTTCACCATTTTGAGCACTTCTTAAGTGATTTTAGCCATATTTGGGCCAAAATTGTCAAATGTGAACCCCCCTGGAAATTTTTTTTGAAAACTGACCCCCCCCCCTGGCAAATCCTGAGCATCTTTAATTATCAACTACTTTCGCCTGGCTTAAGTGTTAGTACTAAGTCGATCATCTAACGTGATGATTGGTATTAGTATGGGATTAGGCTTCTTACATCCAGGTACTTCCTCATTTCAAACCACCGCTAGTACCATAATATGATCACGAGTGGCACCTAAAGCAATATTTGAAAAGCAAAACATGCTCTAAAAAAACATATGAGATATCAAAACAATACGAAATGGCAATTGTTTTTCATTCTGATACCTCACATTTAGTGCAATGTATGTATTTATTGTAATATCTGTCTTCTACCATATGCATTATGCAATTCACATTTCGTGCAATATTTGTATTTATTGTAATATTTGACCATATGCAACATGCTACTCATATTTAGTGCAATATATGTATTTATTATGCAATATCCATCTTACATTAGGTGCAATATATCGTATTGAATGAAATGATTGACAATATGATTCCATGAACTGCTTATTTATGCCAAACTGATTATAAGAGTTGTGAATTGATATCATTGGTTATTAATGTATAAATCTTTACCAGAGACATTATATGTCTCTGTCTTTATGAATGTTGACCCAAGCTGCCCATTGGGGGTAGTAATGGGTGACACTCAGGTATAATGTGTACTGTGTCTCATAAGTCGGCACCGGCTGGTGATGTTACAAAATGTTGTTTTTATTATGTATTTTATATGTATATTGTAATATCAGTGACACAAAAATAAACTATTTTAAACTAAACTAAAAACTATACTCATCAGCGTGAAGTTCATGAAGAAGAAGGCCATGATTTCTTATGATGCTTATTTCTTATACGGACTTAATATGATTTTGATTTTCGATGAAATTAATTTCACATTCACTCGTTAATAAATATGCATAGAATCAAGACACAGAAACTTTGCCAAAAGGAAATCATAAATATCCCTATGTAACGACCAATGGGATGGTATGCTTTATCATAGACGTTATATCCTGATGATTTTAATTAAAACGTTATTTAATACGTTTCCCGAAAGAAGATATATCTTACCTCTTATAAAACATATATCCTATATCTACTGTGTAATCCAGAACTAAGTAACCCTACTCGTGTATTTGAATTGAATTGTCCTCCCCTCATATAACTACGGCTTAATGTTGTTAACTATGAAGCATAAATTATTGTTCTCTATCAGTAATGCAAGTCTTTCCGGTTCCCTACGTGATGTTCTTTGTTATTTATCTATAACCCAAGCCGCTATACTGAGAATTGATCAATTCAACACCAAAGCTATACAGTTCTCTTTAGTCTTGCTTTAAATCATTTAACGATCGTTTTATTACATTCCATGTAAAATCCAATGATATTATAAGATAATGTTGCTATCCAAGAGGTCTTTGTGTTACGGTGTATATGGATGATATTTCCAGTCAACTGTCTGGTAACGTGTATGATTAATGTGTTTTATTGCAATTTTTCTCTCAACAATAATTTTCTCATGTTTTATTGAATCTTGTCTGAAAAAGAATCGATATTTCCCGGATTGATCCTTGCAATGTTACCTGGTGTAGTTACAGTAGGTTCAGGGTAGCTTGAGATGACGTATGTTTTGTATGCTAATGAGATGTTGGAGTCGATAATCTTATGTAAACATGAATTTTGATTTTATAGGGAAGCTATCCAGGGTAATGACATCAAAGTAGAATTAGTTCTGATTCTGGGTGTAGTGTTTGTTGATTGATATGGTATATTTAATTGATGTGATATATTGTATTGTTGATTGTAGTGTTTGTTGATTGATATGGTATATTTAATTGTAGATTGTAGTATTTGTTGATTGATATATTGTATTGTATATTGTAGTGTTTGCTGATTGATATGAAATAGTGTATTGTAGATTGTAGTGTTTGTTGATTGATATGATATATTGTATTGTTGATTGTAGTGTTTGTTGATTGATATGATATGGTGTATTGAAGAGTGTAGTGTTTGTTGATTGATGTGATATATTGTATTGTTGATTGTAGTGTTTGTTGATTGATGTGATATATTGTATTGTAGATTGTAGTGTTTGTTGATTGATATGATATATTGTATAGTTGATTGTAGTGTTTGTTGATTGATATGATATAGTGTATTGAAGAGTGTAGTGTTTGTTGATTGATGTGATATATTGTATTGTTGATTGTAGTGTTTGTTGATTGATGTGATATAGTGTATTGTATATTGTAGTGTTTGTTGATTGATATGATATATTGTATTGTTGATTGTAGTGTTTGTTGATTGATATGATATAGTGTATTGAAGAGTGTAGTGTTTGTTGATTGATGTGATATATTGTATTGTTGATTGTAGTGTTTGTTGATTGATGTGATAAAGTGTATTGTATATTGTAGTGTTTGTTGATTGATGTGATATATTGTATTGTTGATTGTAGTGTTTGTTGATTGATGTGATATAGTGTATTGAAGAGTGTAGTGTTTGTTGATTGATGTGATATAGTGTATTGAAGAGTGTAGTGTTTGTTGATTGATGTGATATATTGTATTGTTGATTGTAGTGTTTGTTGATTGATGTGATATAGTGTATTGTATATTGTAGTGTTTGTTGATTGATTTGATATATTGTATTGTTGATTGTAGTGTTTGTTGATTGATATGATATAGTGTATTGAAGAGTGTAGTGTTTGTTGATTGATGTGATATATTGTATTGTTGATTGTAGTGTTTGTTGATTGATGTGATATAGTGTATTGTATATTGTAGTGTTTGTTGATTGATATGATATATTGTATTGTTGATTGTAGTGTTTGTTGATTGATGTGATATAGTGTATTGTATATTGTAGTGTTTGTTGATTGATATGATATATTGTATTGTTGATTGTAGTGTTTGTTGATTGATATGATATAGTGTATTGAAGAGTGTAGTGTTTGTTGATTGATGTGATATATTGTATTGTTGATTGTAGTGTTTGTTGATTGATGTGATATATTGTATTGTAGATTGTAGTGTTTGCTGATTGATATGATATAGTGTATTGAAGAGTGTAGTGTTTGTTGATTGATGTGATATATTGTATTGTATATTGTAGTGTTTGCTGATTGATATGAAATAGTGTATTTTAGATTGTAATGTTTGTTTATTAATATGATGCATTGTATTGTTGATTGTAGTGTTTGTTGATTGATGTGATATAGTGTATTGTATATTGTAGTGTTTGTTGATTGATATGATATAGTGTATTGAAGAGTGTAGTGTTTGTTGATTGATGTGATATATTGTATTGTTGATTGTAGTGTTTGTTGATTGATGTGATATAGTGTATTGAAGAGTGTAGTGTTTGTTGATTGATGTGATATATTGTATTGTTGATTGTAGTGTTTGTTGATTGATGTGATATAGTGTATTGTATATTGTAGTGTTTGTTGATTGATATATTGTATTGTTGATTGTAGTGTTTGTTGATTGATATGATATAGTGTATTGAAGAGTGTAGTGTTTGTTGATTGATGTGATATATTGTATTGTTGATTGTAGTGTTTGTTGATTGATGTGATATAGTGTATTGTATATTGTAGTGTTTTGTTGATTGATGTGATATATTGTATTGTTGATTGTAGTGTTTGTTGATTGATGTGATATAGTGTATTGAAGAGTGTAGTGTTTGTTGATTGATGTGATATATTGTATTGTTGATTGTAGTGTTTGTTGATTGATATGATATAGTGTATTGAAGAGTGTAGTGTTTGTTGATTGATGTGATATATTGTATTGTTGATTGTAGTGTTGTAGTGTTTGTTGATTGATGTGATATAGTGTATTGTATATTGTAGTGTTTGTTGATTGATATGATATAGTGTATTGTAGATTGTAGTGTTTGCTGATTGATATGAAATAGTGTATTTTAGATTGTAATGTTTGTTTATTAATATGATGCATTGTATTGTAGATTGTGGTGTTTGTTGATTGATATGATATATTGTATTGTTGATTGTAGTGTTTGTTGATTGATATGATATATTGTATTGTTGATTGTAGTGTTTTTTATTGATATGATATATTGTATTGTTGATTGTAGTGTTTGTTGATTGATTGATATGAAATAATGTATTGTAGATTATAATGTTTGTTGACTGATATGAAATAGTGTATTGTTGGTTGTAGTGTTTGTTGATTGATATGATATATTGTTGATTGTAGTGTTTGTTGATTGATTGATATGAAATAGTGTATTGTAGATTGTAGTGTCTGTTGATTGATTGATATGAAATAGTGTATTGTAGTTATTGTTTACCACTTAGTAAGCTGAGCGCAAACGAAAGCGGGACTTGAATCAGAGGTACACCCTAATTGTTTTCTGACAGAAGCATACATCGCATAATGATCAAACAAGAATGCACGAATGGCAATTAAGGCGGCAAGAAGAACACTTTCTGTATCTTTCTGTATCAGCCATTGCATCACTCTGTTAAATTATAGCATCCTTCATAAGAACACGAAACAGCTGAAGTATCCATGTTAATTGACCCAAGGATATAACTTTAACATTACCTCGAAAGAGTCCCGTAATATTAAAAAATAGTGGGATATAATGGGAGGGTTTGACATAGTGTAGAATATGGAATATTAGGGGGAAATATGTGGGATAACGAAGTAGATAGAGGTATTGATGAATATAGGTCCACAGAAAAGAAGAGGATATGGAATATGATTATCTGAAAAGTAAAGAATTTAGACAATGAAGTCTCCATCAATCAAACGATACCGATACAGATCGTTCAATAACTACGAAGAAAATGGTACCATTCTGAGCTTTTTGCATTTTTCGATGAAATTTTCAAAGTTTCGTAAAAATGTGAAGTTATTAAAATTAAAATATGAGAGTAAGATCTTATTTGATTGGTTCATCATAACTCGATCAGCTTTTTTGAGGAAAATTTGACTTCATACAATTTTCTTGGGACATCTAAAAACATGTGGTTACATATGTCTAATATCCAACTGTCTTTCTAGTTTTTCTATCACTTTGTAAATCATTTTGTATCAGATGATATCACAGAAATCTATCGAACCTTACAACAGGTGTCGATGCGCCATGTGAGCAACTACTAGTATTGAACAGAAATGATACGGTAGCTAATCTATGCCAACAGCAACAACTACTCATTAATTAGTCATGGGTACTTTCCTAAAGCTGAATTTTAAAAGGATTTTGCCAATATTATCTAAGTGTCAAACATGTTTTCGTCATAGTTCATATTATTTTGTAAATGTTGCCAAGCATTTAAGCTTATCCCGTTTTAAAGAAACAATTAGCAAATAGATTTGTCTAATGAAGCTCTTGTTGGAATAATACCTACTGACGCATGGCATGTCTACTACATTAATCCACTATTAAATTATAAGGCATTTTGTCAATGTATAAGTGATTAAATAAGTACATTTATTGACTACGTGGTTGTGTCATAATACAGAGGTTAGTAACACGCATTTGGGAGAACTTGAAACTAAAGTGTAATATGATCCAAAATAGTTGTACACCTCTCGATTAGTCAAAACAAAAACCTAACTACTACATCTATTTTCTTTACATCTTCATTCTCAACTTGTTTTTTCACCTTTGTAATAAAAAGGTACAAAAAGTTCACTTTTATTTCAGGTTTCAGTAATTTTATCTCAATAGAGGACTTTCTATATAGCTCTGAAATCTCGCAATCTTGAAATTCTCGTTTTTTCATTAAGAGATTTGAACTTTTAATCTCTTACAACTAACGTTTCTTTCTTTTTTAACAGCATATCTTAATTCAGTGTAAAGTTTTCCACTATAAAAACTTTGATTTATATAGTTGTGTCAAATCTTCATTGATGCAATGCTAAGATTCTTTAAAACCTTGGTTTATTCGTTTGACAACCAAAATAGGTACATTGACAGGGTCATCTCATAGTATGCTAGGCTATTGGAGTTTAAGTCTGGTTCAACAAACGCTTTTTCATAAATTATTAAATTAAGTGACTATTGCAAGTTTATAACATGGACGACTATGGCAGTCTGGTCCAAGCAAAACGAAGATTGACAAGGGTGACAATATTTCAAGCTCTGGTTAAACAATGATTAAGAGTTTTTAAATTCGTAAATATTGGCAAAAAATTGTGATTTAAATGAAAAATCTAGAGTTACTCGGGAAAATCGAGACATTTTCTTAAAATTCCGAGACATCGAGATTAAAGACAAGATGACTACAATCTGATAATAACCTTCGTAAGATCAATGGAACAAAATCATTACGATTTGTTGCTCAGATTGTGGTATCATAGCATAAAATAATATCAATCGAACATGGTGGATGGAATTGTTTTACTGCAGGTCGATCAGTAAGTGTGTATCCAAGAATAAAATTCACGAGCGTCTCCAGGAGGTGAACCCCCCCCCCCCCCCCTTACGAGTCAATCCCCGGGCATTTCATTAATGGTATAGAGGAGAAAGAAATTCGGAGACCGAATATTGTGTTCTGGCAAAAGACGTGGAGGCTTGAAGTGCAAACTATGATGGTGGAGAAAGTTTTTCGACGCACCTCCCTTAAATATTGGTAGAATTATTGGACCATCCCCATTCCCTGAATTTACATACAATTCTGGCCCTAGAAGCTTGCATTTGCGAATATACATACAGTAACAGGGTGGTCCAAAAAAGTGAACCCCTGCAACAGGACTGCAATTTCCTGTTGATGCCATAACTTATTCTCAGTCTTGAATTCTGAAGAAATTGCAAGACTTAAACAAACATGCCAACAAACATGCCTAAAATTAGATATTGTGCAAAACTTTACCAATGTGATTCACAGAAATTGTTGAAACACATTGGATGATCTTAAAAAAGCTTTCAGTGAAAGATATGTTTAAAACATACCATATGACAAATGGGACACCATTTGAGCAGAAAGCACATTTTACGTTTTCATTGACCATTTTGAAGCAGTTTTAACCATTCAACAGTTAAGGGGCATGTTACCTACACTTAAGCTTAGAGGTGGGCAAGTTATCCCCTGTGACCCAAAATCTGAGAAGCCCTTCAAATAAATATCTTACAAAAATTAAAAGGAAATCTAATATTCAAGGCTACGAAAAATGTATGGTAGCAACAAAAAATTTAGACCTTTCTCTACAATATGTGAAAATATGAAAGGATTCTTGCATGTAATAAGGGAAATATAGCCTGTTGCAACAGTTTTTGGAACACCCTGTATATATTTTCTTCTTGAACAAACCTGCCCAAGACTGCAAACTTAGGGTAAGCCACTATGATAAAAATTAAACAAACACCATCTTGGATTATCATTCACTCCATTATGTTGTATTTCCGTATAAATATGTAAAATACGATTCCAACTTATTGTTGTAGTCTCGCACCAACACTCCCCTATGTACCTCCACCCACCCCTTTAAGAACCAACAAGTCACAAAGATACCTACATGCAGTGAGAATAGAAGGGAGAGATAGGAGACTTATTCTTGCCTGTACAAGCAGTGCAATACTATAATGAAACCCTCATAATGTTTTATGGATTTCCAATGGTTCTTAACAAGTTGACGTGACGGGAGAACATTCATTTAATTAGGAAGAGTTTTATGTGCATTAGCTTTGGAATGTCCTACCGTGATGTGACAGGATATTTCCTTCATAATTACTGACAATCTTCTCTCAATTTCTATTTGAAAAATTCCTTCCTGGGGAATCGTGAATTGATATTTTAAATTTGCTATAAAGTGTGCATGCGTGTGCAAATAAAACGGGTGTTACAATAGGAAATATTTATGAAAAACATAATTAGAAACTCTACCATAGGATGGTGAGCAATGTTTCTAAGAACAAACTCCGATTTATCGACCGACATTTCATGTTGTTATGATAATCACATCATGGCAGGAAACGAATCCCAGCAACGGCGATTTCACAAAAGCACAGTTTATATAATATATTTTGATATACAATTTCCATTAACAGTTGATTAATATAACATAATAATTTCTACAATTGTAATGAAAATTTATTATCAAGGACTATCCATTGATTTTTAATAATAAGTTATTGCCACAGAATCGAATAGTGACGTCATACGAAACGCTCAATAACAATAAGATAATAAAAATGATGACCCCTCCACATAGTGGGGGGCTAAATAGTCAATATGTGCAGTCTGTTCATCCGTCCATACTTCCGAGCGTTTTCTTCTAATTCAGGTTCCACACTTGTCAAGTAAAATCGGAATCGTCTGAAAAGGATCGATGTGAACATCGGGGTTTATTTTCGGGGAAATCGGGAGAAAACGGGGTTTCTGAAACTGAATCACAGAGGAAAATTGGAGTTTCGAAAAATAATTCTATAATTCTAAAAACGGGAGAAAATGCTGTTTTTAAAAAATTCTTGGGGAAAATCAGGATTCTATAGCTAACAGTCTAATAGAAATAATCGGAAATAGATTTTTGAAAGATAAATTGATAGAAATATCGGGGCATGTGTATTATTCCGATAAACGCTCGTTTTCTTCACGCACTTCACTGGGAACAGCTTTTTTTGTAAAAAACTATATTTCAAGAATAAAACATATATACATTATACATAGCCCTAATTACATTGTTTAATTTCTGTACAGTTAGTTTTTCAAAATAAGCATGTATACTTCCAGTTTTGTCTATATTGAAAAATTGTATTGCCCTCCTGGCTATTAAAACTTCTTTATAATTCTTATACTTATTTATTCCTATAATTTGTTCAAAAGTGATATTATCAAGCAATTTCCATATATCTCTTATTTTTGTACACTCATAAAAATTATGTTTAACATTGTCAATTTCATTACATCTCTAATTCTAAAATGATTATTGCATTACATTGCGACATTGTGTAATGTTTTCCAGTGAATAATTAAGAGTTTGGCATCTACTTTGCACTTGAAAGTAGTTAGAGATTAGACAGTTTGAAATAATCCTAACACGTAACCCTATGGAAGGGTGATAATTATAAGTAGGGGGATAATAAAGGGGATTCCCCATTTCATCAACTACGTCATCGAGGGAATTCCCATATCCCATCAATCTGGTTAGTCTGGTTTTATATTTGAAAACCGTGACTTCAGACTGTCATAGATAATGTTCTGTAAATCAAACTTGCCAAGTGTGAAGGTAATATCCTACATGATCCTAAAATACCGAAGTATACTGAATAATTCCATTTCGTATTACTTAAAGGTATTCCTCGTTTTCATCGACTACGTCAACGAATTTCCGGTTTAAACTGGTTCAAACCATGACTTCAGACTGTTTTAGAATATTCTGTAAATTAAAACTTACCAAGTTATGAATGTTTTATCCGACATGATTCTAAAATACTGTACTATATGGAAAGATTCCAATTTTGCTTTGTACACAAGGTCATTCATAGTTATCAGCTATACGTGTACTAACTACAATCTAATAATAAACAGAATTTAGCCTGTAGGCAAATGATTAACTTATACATGATTCCAGGCCAAGCAAGTTTATCATATCACTGTAAAGCGGTATTATTTGTGTTAAGTATTTATGTTAAGTAAAGTATTGTTTATCAGTCGATGTAGTATTTACTAAATACACCCTTTGTAAAATACTACGCATATATAAGTATACTCTAGTAATTGCATATGTTGCACATAAAATTATTCGAAATATCATCATTATAAATAAATGTAATACATTCAACCTTATTTTGATAGACCTAAGCCTTGAGAAACATGATACCATTTTAGATTTCACTATAAAAATAACATATCTGTAATCAAACATATTGTGAAGCGAAAAAAACTCAAGGCCACCATATAACTTATGTTACAAATACATTTACTATATAAACCTTCTGTGATCAATGTTTAATTAGGAGCAGGGAACGCCTTTTACTATCCTAAGAGATCCTGAAGATCCATTCTACCCATTATGAACATTTATTTGTGAAATGAGGGATTAAATGATGAAAATATTAGAAATAGACAGGTTAAATTATTTAAAAAAAATATCGATTAGCCTCCCATGATCCGATATATATCCAGTTCCAACCGGATCAATCAAGATACCAAAACTCAGTATAAAAATGTAATAGCAACACTAGTTGCTCATTTCATGATATTTGTTGGAAAGGAGCACTGCTAAGAAGAAACCCTGAAGATGCCTGCAGCAGACCATTCTACTTACGAGTGCCACTGTGGAAAGAGATTCAAACATGCAAGTAATTTATCGAGGCATAAGAGGCTGGAACATGCGCATGACAGCATACAATACCAGTGTCATTGTGGGAAAACCTTTGATAGAAAGGATAGATTGGCAAGGCATGAGCTTATACATAACGGAGTTGAATACAAGTGTGATAAATGTAATGCAAAATTTAACAGAAAGGACAATTTAACCAAGCACAAGCGTACACATGTACAAGTGGGTGGTGGTGTAGATCCAAACTTGACACCAACACACAACCAGACACAGCAATTTGATTCAAACCTCTCGAATCAGCCTAATAAAACAGATATCCCAAATCGAACATTAGAATCTGAGATACCAAATACACCACTAGAAGGCGACCAGGATAACGGCCCTGAAGAGTGCAACTTTGAAGAAGAAGCTGTAAATGGAGCTTTGAAGACTGTGACGTTCAAGGCTACAGGTTTATCAAAGTTTGATCCTCTTCAATTCATGAAAGAAAAAGAAGCAAATATTAAGGCCGCACTTTTAAAGCAGATGAAAAGAAAGGGTGGGGTAAAGTGGTATGGCTCAGTACAAGTGCAGTTTAAAAAGGAGAAAAAGGAAGGAATGGATATAGCTAAACCCCACTTTCGAGGTCATTGCCACATAGCCATGAAACCAGTGGATCTAAATGAAGCTTGGAAAGAGACAGTGAAAAAGATATACGACTCGTTTATCAGATATCAACGGGAAGGAAGTAATTGGCAGTTGGAGTTTGTGATGAAATTCACCTTGCATATGATCATCTGGAAGCCAATTAGAGGATCAAGCTATATCAAAACCCCACTCAAGTTACGATACAAAGGTGCAATTGTCAATGTGAAGAATAGAGACAAAAAATGTTTCCTCTGGGCTGTGTTGTCATCACTTTATCCAGCAACAACGAACTCTTGTCAAGTTGCAAAATACAAAAAGTATGCTTCTATTCTGAATATGGATGGAATAAGTTATCCAGTGAAGCTGACAGATGTAAGAAGATTTGAAATTAACAATAATATTTCTATAAACGTCTTTGGGTATGACAAAGAGGTGTTTCCATTACACATTACAAAGCAAAAATTGGAGAAGCACGTAAATCTGATGTTATTCTCAAACAAGAAGAGTAGCCATTATTGCAGTATTAAAAATATGAGCAGATTACTAAGTCACACCACAAAACATGATGGTAAGAGATTCTTCTGCGACTATTGTCTTCATGGATTTTCAAAGGAAAGCCTACTTGTGGAACATGTTAAGTATTGTGAAATGTATGGCCCACAAAGGATAGAAATGCCTTCTGAAGAGAACAAGTGGCTGGAATTTAAGGATACCGCAAAACAACTGAAAGCACCTTGGGTGATATATGCTGATTTCGAAAGTTGCTGTGAGAAAATACACAGTTGTCAACCAGATCCCAATCAGTCCTACTCTGAGAAAAGAACTATACATACGCCGTCTGGATTCTCATATAAAGTAGTGGGTCCCACATCAGAGCATACTCAACCATCTGTAGCATACAGTGGAGAGAATGTCACAGATACATTCATACAGCATATGGTAAAAATACAAGATAGAATAGACCTATGGTATAAAAACACCAAGCCCATAGACATGCAGCCTGAAGATTGGTCTGCCTTTCGCAAGGCTGTCAACTGCCACATATGCAACAAGCCAATGGGGGATGACCGCGTCAGAGATCACGATCATGTGACAGGGAAATTTAGAGGTGCTGCACACAATACATGCAACATAAATTTCAAGTTTAGAGGCAGAATCCCAGTAGTCTTCCACAACCTGAAGGTAATTGTCTTCTTTTAAAAATGAATAATATAGTACTCTAATACATCTTGATCTATATGAAAAATAGTCTCTATATCTAATTTGATTTTCTATTTTCTAATATAGTATCATATACATATTGATCTGTATGAAATAGTCTATATTTAATTTTGATTTTCATATTTTGTAGAATTATGATGCTCACTTGATAATGAAGAGTATAGGAATGTATCAACATGGGCGACTGAGAGTTATACCTACCAATATGGAAAAGTATATCAGCTTTTCAATGGGAAGTATGGATTTCATTGACTCATACCAATTTCTCAATGCCTCGCTTGGTAGACTTACTGACAATCTGGTTCAAGAAGGGAAAGAAAAATTCAAGCATCTATCAAACGAATTTTCTGATGATGAAACGTTGAATTTGCTTCTTCGTAAAGGGGTGTTCCCGTACAGCTGGTTTGACAGTAGGGAAAAGTTTGAAGAGATGGGTCTTCCTTCAAAAGACAGTTTCTACAATGACCTCAACGACCAACAACTCTCTCAGGAAGACCATGATCATGCTCATCGTGTTTGGTCACATTTTAAGATGATGAGATTTGAAGATTATCACAATCTTTATATGAAAACAGATACTCTTCTACTTGCTGATGTGTTTGAGAACTTTAGGGAGCTGTGTCTTGATCTATATGGTTTAGATCCTGCTCACTACTATACGGCCCCAGGTAAGTAATATAATACGTTGGTCTTAGATAAATAGAATTTATGAAATAAATTTTAAGTAAGGATTTAATCAGAATCATAAATATTAAAATACACCTTACATTTTCCAGGTCTAAGTTGGGCTGCTGCTCTAAAGTATACAGGGGTGAGACTCGAATTACTTACTGATCCTGACATGTATCTGTTTGTGGAAGCTGGATTGAGAGGAGGAATATCTATGATATCACATAGACATGCAAGAGCAAACAACCCATACCTCCCCGAATATGACTCAACAAAACCATACTCATACATTAGTTATATTGGTAAGTTACTTATGAAAACTCCAATTTGTTATATAGAATATTATGATTAATTGATTAAGTCTGATAACTTATTCCTTAAGAAGAGGGACAAGAATAGACAATTGCCTCTTATTTAACCCATTTTGTAATGCTATAAACGACTATAAATCATTATACTATAAAAAATGTAATAAAGACATAGACAAATAACATATTCATAATAATAACCTATTTATTTATGGTTTCAGATGCAAATAATTTATATGGTTGGGCAATGAGCAAGCCACTCCCAACACATGGTTTTAAGTGGCTAAAAGAAGAGGAAATTGATCACCTTCGCATCTGTGATGTTGATGAAGATTCAGAAGATGGCTACATATTGGAAGTTGACCTGGACTATCCTCGAGATCTACATGACAGTCATTCTGATTACCCGTTAGCACCAGAAACAATGGTTATCAAAAAGGACTTGATATCTCCATACTGCCGAGAACTAGCTGAAGATCTTGCACTTGGTGGTACCCCTACTAAAAAGCTAGTACCGAACCTAATGGATAAGAAAAACTACATAGTTCATTATAGAAACCTTCAGCAGTATATTAAGTATGGATTGAAACTGCGTAAAATCCATAGAGTGATGACCTTCAAACAGTCCAGGTGGCTAAAGTCATACATTGATCTGAATACCAATAGACGTAAGCATGCCAAGAATGATTTTGAAAAAGATCTTTTCAAGTTAATGAATAACAGGTAAGTAAGAAATTGTAGTTTAGTTTGTATAACTCAAGAAAAATGCTTTGATTAAAATATTTACAAAAAATATGAGTCTAACTATACTAATGCAGATTCTTTTATTTTAGTGTCTTTGGCAAGACCATGGAAAACCTGAGAAAACGCCGTGACATTGAGTTGGTTAACAAGGAGAGGAGGCTTCATAGATTAGCATGCAAACCCTCATTCCATGCATTCAGCATATTTACTGAAGACCTAGCGGCAGTCGAGAAGTTGAAGACAAAGCTCTATCTAGACAAACCTATCTACTGTGGATTCACTATCCTTGACATAAGTAAAACACTGCTATTCGATCACCACTATGGGTATATACTTCCAAAGTATGGTAAAAATGCCACACTCTGCTTCACTGATACAGATTCACTGTGCTACTACATCCAAACTGAAGATCTCTACAAAGATATGAAGGATGACATAGACTTGTATGACACATCAAACTTTTCGACTTCACACCCATTATTTTCGAGTGAAAATAAAAAGGTCATTGGGAAATTCAAGGATGAGACTGCTGGAGAACCGCCATTGGAATTCGTAGGTCTTAAGCCAAAGATGTACTCTTTGCTTGTGGGAGATGAAGCCAAGAAAACAGCAAAGGGTATTAGCAAATCAGTGGTGAAGAATAGCATCACCCATGATGACTATCGGAATGCTATCCTGGAGGGACAATTAAAAATGGCATCGATGAAACAATTTAGATCATTTAAACATGACATCTTTATGGTGGAATTAAACAAGATTGGCCTCAACCCCTATGATGACAAACGCTTTATTCTTGATGATGGAGTTGGTACACTTGCACATGGACATTACAGAATTCAAATGTGAGAATACAATATACTCCTCTTTCCATCTTCTCTACTCGTTGTACTCCTATTACACCTCCTCTCATTCTTTCCCTCCTCCTCCTCCTCCTCCTCCTCCTCCTCCCCCTCCTCCTCCCAATTATATTCTCACTGGTATAGCCATTTCGATAAGTTGATGCTGATTTATTGAACCAATCAGATTACAGGATGAAAATATGTAAATTTAAGCCCATGTGTTCTAGATTATGTTCATTCTAAAATAAGATCTTGAAGGAGCAACATGTCTTTTACTTGCTTTAAATGTAATATGGACTTCACAAGAAAGGATAATTTGAGCAGACATATGAATCAACTCCATAGAACTTATAATGACAATGTCGGAGATGTTAAGTCAGATATTGTGTTAAAACATCCATTTACTTTGATTGCAGCTGGTCCAACATCGTCGGGCAAAACTTGGTTGATGAAGAAGCTAATTAAACATGTAGGAAAATACATAACCCCAACTCCCAAGAGAATCATTTGGTGCTATGGCCAATGGCAACCAGCTTATGAAGAAATGAAGAGCTATCCTGGTTTAGAGTTCATTCATGGAATACCTGATGAATTAGACAACCCAAGATTCCTCAATACGACCACACCCAATCTCCTTGTATTAGATGACCTCATGACATCAGCGACTAAAGATGAACGCATTTCTGATCTTTATACAAAAGGAAGCCACCACCGGAATTTATCTGTGATTTGTCTCATGCAAAACATGTACCATCAAGGAAAGGAAAATAGAACAATGAGTCTGAACTCACATTATTTGATTTTATTCAATAATCCAAGAGATCGTCAGCAGGTGACACATTTATCAAGGCAGATGTATCCAGGTAGTGGTGGAAAACTTCTGAGAGCATACAACAATGCAACTAATGTACCCTATGGTTATTTACTATTGGATTTAAAGCAAGAGACACCAGAGCATGAGCGGTTGAAACCTAACGCATTTACATTTACTGATGATAAAGCAGAAGACTACTCTCACGTGATCCAACCAATAAAAAAGCA